TTATGGGAAATTTCAACCATAGCCAAATGTAGATAGAACAGTATAATGAAGCCAATGTATTCATTGTCTAGCTTCAATCGTTAGTGGTGCCTCATTTATACTCAGTCCCTGTCCCCTGCTGCCACAGAATTATTTTGAAGCAAATCTCAGATGTCATGTCATTCCTTCCTTAAACAATTCAATAATCCAGTACATATCTCTAAAAGATAAAAGATCTTTTAAAAGTGTAATATTATTCACATCTAAAAGGAGATAAAATTACTTAAAATCATCATATATCCAATCACTCAAAAAATTTATTACCTAAATAGAAGAAAAGAAAATGAAATGTCAAGAAAAACATTACTCCAAAAGATACAGTACTCAAAAATGAGCTATTTCCCTTCACTAAAAAGGAAACATTCTCTTACAGCAGAGAGCTGGAGGTCAGGGGCTCTTAGGGGGAAATCCAAAAGTGGCATGCAAAATTTGTAACATGTGCATATGAAAAAATTTTTTTCCTGGTTGATAGCATTTATCAGAATGCCAAACAGATTGAGACTAAAAACATTTAAAGAACTTCTGCCACAATCACCTCAAACTGCCAGGAAGAATTAGTCAAGTACGGAAACAAATCCACATAAAATAATTTAAGAGATCAAACTGAATCCAACTCAGCATTTACTGAGCATACAGTAGATGCAAGACAATGGGTGACATTTCTGATAACAAAGGTAAATTAGTCCTAGTTAATTTATAGTCTATAGGGGTCAAACAGAGTAATGTAGCTGTAATAGAATGTTATTTAAAAAGTGCTTGCTTTAGCCCTGGCTGGTGGCTCAGTTGGTTGGAGCATCACCCCATGCACCAACCAAAAAGCTGTGGGTTCAATTCCCAGTCAGGGCACATACTGAGGTTGTGGGTTTGACTGACAGTCAAGGTGCATATGAGAGGCAGCTGATCCATGTTTCTCTCTCACAATGATGTTTCTCTCTCTCTTAAATCAATGAAAACATGTCTTTGGTGGAGGGTTTAAAAAAAGTGCCTGCTTTAGCTATTTTTATGGGGATCCATATGAAAAAGCAATGATTTACATGGTGGGGTGGGGGGGGGGGAACACCAGGGTCTTAAGATAGAATTGTAGAAGATGTCAATAACTGTGCCATGAACACATGTCTAAAGATTTTCCTTGTCCCCCTAGCTGAGGGACAGGAATACATGCGATCACTGGGGTCTGTCCCTCCTCCCTGGATGGGGTAGGAGAGGTGATCATGAAAGTGGAGAGAAGAGATTACAAGTGAGTAGTGTTTTGGGAATTGAACAGTGCTTCATATCTGGGGAGGAGAAATGGTGAAGAGGGAAGGGAGGCCATTCCAGGAAGAGAAGAGCAGGAACAAATGGGTGGAAATTACTGGCATGTTAGGGAACCAGCAAGCAGTGTGGTGACCTTACAGCAGAGTGTGTGGGAGGAGCTGGCTGACTGGAAATGCCTGCTGGGACCAGAAGTTGGAGCCTTCCAGGCCAGAACTGAGCCTCTGTTCTGTGTCCAGAGAAAAGCCATCGACACATTTAAAATGAATCAGTTTTGTCTTTACAGAGTATGTCTCACTCTGGGGTGGATGATGGGTGCCCCATGTTTAGTGAACTGGTGGGGCCTTCAATTAGCTGGATGGGGTGAGGTGAGCAAGAAGCAGGCTACTTAGGGACCAACTGCAACAGGCCAGGGGAGGTCTAGAATGACAGTAGTGAAGACACAAGGGGACATTTCAGAAAATTTAGAAACCAATATTTTTAAAAAGGTGAAGAGGGAAACATAAGAGAGACCAAAGCATCACCCAAATTCTATTACACTGGGTGGAATAGCATTAGTGTGCTCCCATTTCTGTAAGAAACAAAACAAAACAAAAAAAGGAAAATATACATATAAGCTATAAACACAAAATATCGCAGGAAGGATATGAGATAAATACACATAGATACCATTGGTTGTAGGGCATAGTTGAAGGGATTGGGAGAGCTGAAGGTAGGAAAGAAACTTCTGTCCCTTTGGGATGCCGAACCACATGATTACCTATTAGCTGGTTAAAAGAATGTGTGAATTCTTCCTTACTGTCACCCATATAGACAGAAAATTGGGGAAAAAAAAAGTTTTAGAGAAAGATCTAGGTTCCATTTAGCTCTGACTCTTCCTAACTATAGGGCATGAACAAATTAATTTCTTTTAATTTCTGTCCTCTTATTTGCAGAAACAGAGATAATATCAGCTAATTCCTGGGTCGCTACAACAATAATTAAAAGAATCCTACACAAAGCATCTGGTAGAAAACCTGACAGAAACTAAATACTCAATAAGTAGGTGCTATTCTATTATCAACAAAATTTCTTTGATGGGAGTATATTCCTAGTATAAGAAAACTTCCTTGATTGAGTTTAAGGTATGCTCATTTGCTAATCTTATTCCTACATTAATTATTTACACTGTACAAAACGATCAATGTAATCTACCTGATGAACACTAGCCATCACATATCTGTTTCTAGAAATTTAAACTTAACATATTATTTGCATTTCTAGGCAGATGTTAGTTTTTGTCTTTAAATGACATTGACTCTAGGCCCTGATCGTGTGGCTCAGTTGGTTTGGCATTTGTTTCGAAAAGTGAAGGACTGCTGTTTGGATTCCCAGTCAGGGCATCTGTCTGGGCCGTGTGTTCTGTCTCTGGTTCAGGCGCTATGAGAGGCAACCCATTGATGTTTCTCTCCCTCTCGTTCTCCTTCTAAATTTACTTAAGTCATGTATTCACAGAGGACTCCTACATACAAACCAGGTGCCATAAAGCACCAAGAAACAATACTAAGTTGCTATCCTCAAAAAAAATGACAACCTCAGTGAGACAAACAGGTGTGACCTTCAAGTAACCATGGCCCAGATTTGGCACAAGAGATGGAAACACTAGCAATGAAGTACCCAATTCTGGCCATACATTTACTGTAAGATGTTAAGTCACATGTTAGGGAAAGTTACTCTGCAAGCATTTTTTTAGATGGGTTTCTTCTTGATGATACTATGTTTTAAATCAACTGACATTGTGGCAGTAACAGTATTCCAAGTGTTACAAAAGACTGGTCACTCTCAAGTCTTACTACATGTTGTTTGAACAGTCACATCATTATTAAAGCATCATCAAACAAAAGTTTCTTTGTTATACATTGCGATGAATAATTTCAAAGCGTTTTCATGTGAGATGTTCTGGCTCAGAGCTGCCCCATCCTGTAAAGATTAAGACGGTTTCGAAAAGAAGATAGCTGGGGTTTAAGAAAGACATTTGTGAAAGGCAGAAAATAATGATGAACATCTTCCAGGATCTCGGAAATGGTGAATGCGTCCAGAAAAAAAAAAAAAAAAAAAAAGCGTAAGGCCAGAGGAAAATGCATTTCGCTTCATACACAGCACTGTGGGGAGAAGAGTGGTGGGGATGCTTAACAAACACCACCCAGATAATTATTCAAATATTTCTCTTTGAAGCAGATGGGTCTTGGGAGAAACATCAATACTAGTCTGTGGAAAAACAACGATGGAACGTACACACTGATTTCTAAGGGAGCTTTTATTGATGTTGTAAATATGTTACGGATGTGCGCTGTGGAGGGATGACTGCCTTCATACCAGCCAGCAAGTCGTGCTTTTGAGCACAAGAAGGTACACACTAGTATTTACAACCTAGCTACCCTACGGTCAAAGCTCCAGGTTACTACGTATTACAGTTGAATGAAGACTGGATTAAGAGGTCCATCAACAGTTATATATAGAAGGAACACCTATTTAATCGCCGTCCCCTTCCTCTCCCCTCCCTATTTCCATAAATCTCAAGATAAGAGTTACAAAGAGACTGGGAACTCTAGCAGAGCCGCGAGGCCCTTGCTCGCCGCTACCACCAGGTTCTCTCAGAAACGAAGTATTAGTGCAAATGTAAATTGCTTCCAAATATCCTTAACAGGCACCATAAGGTGAATCAGATCCGGTTTTCTTCTACAGCTTGCACAGAGGACAGAGGAGATGACAAGAAGTGTGCGCGTGTACGGTGGTGTTGAGGGGGAGGCTTGCCAAAAGGTAACTTCCTTCCCTCTCCCCACCCCACCCCACCCTACCCCCAGCTCGGAGCCTCAGCCCCCGCCTCCGCGAGCCGCATCTGGCGGTGCCACGCACGAGACGATGTGCACCCGCCACTTCCCACCGCGTGGCGGGCCCCCACCCCTTCGCGGTCCCACGGTCTCCCAGGGCGGCCAAATGTGGCGAGTAGCGGGTCTTTACTCAGAGGCACTGATAAGCGGTAGGGGAGGTTAATGTGGTCAAGGGGATGCTGCCCCACCGAGAGGCAGGAAGCTGCCCCAGCAGGCACATGCTTCCTCCCGGCCAGCACGGCCCGAGTGGAAGCCCCTGGAGGAGCGACGGACGCGGTTCCCGCAACCCTCCCTGCTCCCCCTGCCCCACCTGGGTACCTTCTCACCTGTCCAAGAAGGTAGCGGCGACGCGCGAGACTAGGAGCTGCGGCGAATCCGGCAGCGGCTGTGGCAGCGGCAGCGGCAGCGGCAGCAGTGGCGGCCGCAGACAATGGAGGAGTGAAGGACAGACACATTGACATCGACACACGGAGCCTGGCGCAGCCCCGCCTTTCGCCCCGCCCCGCCCCGCCTCCCAGCCCGCCCCTGGCTCGGGCCGCTCCACTCCCGAGAAAATGGAAGGGGGCTAGCGAGTGCCGGGCACCTCTCCATGCCCCATGCCACCATCGCCGGACGCCGGAGTTACAGGGAGAGAGTTTAAATATTGCGTGTCCCTAAATATGTGAGGCGGACAGGATGGAGGTGGGATACATGTAAGAGGAATTTAACTTCCCCCTCTGGTTTTTGCCATTTGTTTTTTCCTTCCCTGGCTGCTCCAATGAGGGGCTTTGGCTGCCGCCTTCTGAAGCTCCCCCACGGGCTGGGCCAATGACGCGCGGGGGGCGGTGACTGCCGCTGGGCCTGCGGAGACGGCCCGCCCGGCTCGCTCGAGCTCGCCTGCTGCTCGCCAGCCCGCGAAGAGCGGAGAGAATTCGAACGCTTCCGCGGTGTTCTGGTCTGGAACTGCCCCGTTGCGGCCAGCGTTCCTAAGGCAGACACAGCGTTTCTTTCTCATACTTCCAAAGAAACAAAATAACCTTCAAGCTGGCGGGAGCAATGGTTCACATAGAGAAAGGCGAGCTGACCCAGGAGGAAAAGGCTCTGCTGGAAGTCATCGGAAAAGGTATGGGTGCTGGGTTCCGACGGAGGCGCCGCCAGCCTGGCCCGGGGGCGTGGCGGAGCCCGGGAGGCGCCCGGGCCCTGCTGACCCCGGGTCGCGGTCCTGCGGGGACCAGGAGATAGCGTTCCTCCTTTTGGTGTGAGGCCGGTGGAGGGGGCGGAGAGGTGGGAGGGACAAGCACCTCTGGGGCGGTAGTAGAGGTTGCAGAGGTCCGTCCTCTAAACCAGCATTTGGCAAGGTACACATTTCCAGGCCCCTGCTCAGATTATAATGAGCGATCCCGGGGTGTGGGCTGCAGGGTGTGCATTCTTCGACATTGCTAAGGTGATTTTGACCGCGGTCCGCCTTGGCGACTGTGGCCTGGTAGTTTAAGGTTCTTATGCCGGTGTCTCAAGGGCCGTTTCGACTTCCGGAGGCCGAAAGATCTGGATTCCTTGGCTGTCCCCGCCCCCGCCTGTGGGAGGCGGGAGCTCCTACGGAGAAGGGTTATTAGGGCGCAGAGCAAGTTCTGTAATTTGCCCCTTTGAGGTTTCGGCGTCTAGGGCCTTGCGGGCTTCCTTCCAGAGACCCCCGGCCGCCGCCGGAACCTTTAGAGGAGCGAAGAGTTTGGCTAGGCGTCCCCACCTCTCAGCGCACTCAGCTCGGCTGCGATCATCGCGCTCTTTCGCGCTTTCCCTTCCACTCTCCCAACGCGTGTCCTGCCTCCGCTGCTCGGTGTTGTAGGGAGGGAGACGCAGGCCCGGGGGACGGGCCAGAAGCCATGTTTTCCCCTGAATCCCCAGAGGGTCCCAGAAGAGTTCTCAGCTAAGTCCCGTTGCCTAGCAGGTGACATCACTGTGACTGTGTGGCCTCTTTCTGCAAAGTCAAGGCGCGGGGATGAGGTGCGTGGGACTGCGGGCATAGTTAATGTGGTTTTAACTTAAAGAATGAGAAAGCCACGTGTGCCCTCGAACGGCAGAGAGGCCAGTCATAGCAGTTTAAAGGCTTCCCAGGTTACAGTCTTCTAGGTAGCCAGGCTCAACTCTGCTTCCCCAGAGGGCATGGTGAATTATTCTTCATACTGACAAGGAAAATCTAAATGTAAAAGAGGGGAAAAAAAAATTCTGATTTGAACCCAACTGGTGCCGATGAGACGAGCCCACCCCATCCGATATCAATTTTACGTTAGTCACAGCTGTATTTATCATAAATGTTCTTTGTCTGGAATTACGGGACTTGGGAGTTATTTTTATTTTTTGTTTTTCACCGTTCTCACTGACCTATTTGGCACTGCGGCCTCTCTGTTCTGCCTGTCTCTGGGTCATTTCTCCCTGCCTTTCTGCTCTGGGACCCCATTCAGCAAACATGTGAGTTCCCACTAGGTGCCAGGTACTGTGCTGGGCATTAAGGAGACAAAGGGTCAACTCACGGTCCAGCGGAGATGCAACTTGTGTTTTTAAGCAATCCAGAGCTATCACGTTCTCTTCAAAGTCTAGACAAGTGAGCAGTTTTATAAACTGGACTCTGAAAAGGGCAAGTGGTGGTAGTGGTGGGTGCGGGGGGATCCCTGGATATATTCTTAGGTGTCCACCGGTTTTTATCTTAAAGATTTAATGAGAGAATAAATGTGAATTTAGTCGGGTTAGTACTGTGGTATTTCCTCATTTGCGTCAAGTTGAACCCAGTGCGCAGACGCTGTTTCACCGATTCTGTTGGCCCAAGTGGATGAGAAAAGAACTGAGATGGACTTGGTGTGTGATGCATTCTTGTCACGCGAAGGTCCCTGGGACGTTACTGTACTCTCAAAGAGAAGTTATGAGGGATAGGAGAAAACGACAACTGTAGACAGCTGCTATTGAATGTTAATGAGTCAGTCGGAATGGTTGACACTGCGTGTATTGATGCACTTCATTTTGAAGAGGTAGGAATTATTTTTAAATTACAACATTACAAGAGACAGCGTGGACGGTGGTTAACAGTGCAGGTCTGGTGTGGAATCCCACCTCAGTCATGGGAGGGTGCTGTGGCCTTGGGCAGGTCACTGTTTTTGAGCATCAGGCTCTCTGTTTGAAAGATGTTAAAATACAATTTTTGTTGGGTGTTAATGTGGTGAGTATGGTGATCTCCACTTTATAGACAAGAAAAGCAAGGAATTGAGAAATTAGATAACTTGCCCAGTGTCATGTAAGTAATAAGTGCTGGAGCAGAAATATCACAGGGCCCAGAAATATGCTGGACTTGAAAATAAACTAAACAGCAACTGAAACCAGCACCATAGCATAGCAGTCCATACCATATTCACTTTGAGAGACAGTTTGATTTAAGCAAAACATTATAATCTGTGAAGTTAATTTTAAATATTACTGTTTTTGTAGTTTTTAGTGCATTTAATTTATAATTTTTTGATTAATAGTTGAATAAAGGCTACGAGCAAAATTTATATTAGTACTCACTCAAAGCATTAAGGAGGTGGGTTTTTGCAATTTTTTCCCCTTTACTACATTTCTCAACTTTGAGAAGCCCTAGATTAGTAAGTACTGGTACCTGGAACTAACAATATAACTTTAGCCAAGTGCAAGCTCGCATCTTGGGCAATGCGAAATAAACTCAGCAAAGTTTTCAGTGTCTTCTTTCTGCCAGTCACTACTCTCCAGAAGTTAAGCAGACTGTAAGTGGGACTTACAGCAGAGAATACGCACAGTGCTTCTGGACACATTTATTTATAAGTAAAGATTTTATTTATTTATTTTTAGAGGGCTGGGAAGGAAGGGAGAAAGAGAGGGAGAAAAACATCTGTGTGTGAGAGATACATCAACGGTTGCCTCTCACACCCCCCCAACCTGGGACCTGGCCTGCAACCCTGGCATGTGCCCTGACAGGGAACTGAACCGGCGACCTCCACTCCTGGTTTGCAGGCCTGTGCTCAGTCCACTGATCCACACCAGCCAGGACCAGGCACTTTTAAAACAGTTCCTTCTTCTGAGTGAATTCACATGCTAGGTATTCTGCAGACTCTGTTTGTTAGCATGCCAAGAAGTTCCAGATGAAACAGAAGCTGTTTGCTAGGTACCCGTTTAAATCACAGTTAATGACAGCATCCATTTCACAGCATTTAAGAAAGGAAAATTGAAATCACTGAATCTCATTCAACTGTCTTGTATAACTCGTAGATTGACCCATTCTTCTAATTTGTTATTTTTTTCCTTAAACACTGAGGAAGCACTATATTAAAATAAACCTTCTTAAGGATATAAACCAGAGATCTTCCATTTACTTAAATTGTTTAGCACTTTAAATCACTGGAATCACTGTTGCTGACTTAACAAGAGAGTAATGTTTTCACTATTTTTTTTTCATTATTTGTGTAAAAGCAGCTATAAACAGGCTTGGATAATTCTACCAACTTCATGGAGGTATGATTGAAGTATGATAAATGGTGTACACTTACAGTGTATACTTTCTTAAATCAGTTTTTGACTTAAGTATACGCCCATGAAACCATTACTACAGTCCAGATAATGAACAGTTCCATCACCCCAAAAGGTTCTTTATGCCCTTTTATAATTTTTCATTTTATCCACCATTGTCTCCAGGCAGCCACTGATAGGTTTCTGTCTCCTTTTTCTATTCTAGAATTTTGTGTAAGTGGAACTATACAATAAATAATCCTTTTTTTTTTAACATGACTTCTTTCACTTAGAATCATGATTGTAAGGTTCATCTATGCTGCACCAATAGTCTGTGTCTTATTTTCATTTGCTTATACATTCGCTTTGATGGACATTTCAGTTGTTCCCAGTTTGGGACTATGAAAAGAAGATCCTGTTCTAAGTTCCTTTGTAGTTAAGAATATTTCTAGTACCTTTACGGTTTAGAAAGATTCAGGTCTACTAATAATTATAGTGTAGAGTTCAAAGAAAACATTAATTTATAGATATAGTTACTGTTAACTCAATGACTGAACAGGTTATGCAGCCTCTGTGGGCTTTGTTTTGTCTTCATTTACAAAACAAAAGTTCTTTACATGCACTGATTTTAGGCAGTGATTCATAATCCAACTTAAGGCTATTTTGTTAGTCTAAAAATAGATATGAGTAGGAGAACTTTTAGAAACTTCACACTTAAACAAATTTACTATTTCAAGATACATGTTATAATTAAAAGTCTCCACTTTTAAAATATATTTATAGCTATATATAATTAAATGCATATTATTTTAAAAATTTAGACACTTTAAATATTTTATAAGTGATTTGACATGTATACACACACACACATTAAAGCAACTAACAAGATGAATAGTCTTTTAAATACTTAACTTGAATATAGATTTCTTAAAATACCCTTTTGGGGATCCCACTAAATGATTTAAAACCATCCAAACCTGAATCTCGTGGTTATCTGGTGGATTGCTGGAAACAGTAATGTCAAAAGTTTTTTTGTTTGTTCCCTTTCTTGGCTGCAGTAAAAAATCATCGGTCCCCACCTAGGTATTAGAAATGTCACAGCAAATTATATTGCGCTGCTCTGAATATAAAATAACAGGAGCATTTAATATGCACTGAGGGCTTACTCTGGGCCCTGTATTAGGACAGGACCTTAGTTGTCCCCTGTCCCCTACGGGATGGATACGACTATCTCTGAAAGTAGCATCCTTCACAGATGAGGAAGCTGAGGGTTTCACAGGACCTGTTCAGTTTCCCCGTGGCCCTGCAGTGTGGGAGAAGAGAGGGCAAGTACAGTGAGAACTCCATTAGTGTCATTTCTTCTCTGCTGAAATGCTGATCTCTCCGGATAAGTTGATCAATCCCATCCTAATGAGGTAGGTTGGGTTGTGTTTTGTTCTTTGGTTGAGCAACTTGGAGAAATTCTCAAAAGGAAAACAAATCATTAAAAATACCTTTATCAGTTATAAGTCTGTTCATTTCTGTCTCCTTTGAAGATAAATGTTGGCTCATTTGACATTCCCCTTATAGTACCATATCCCCCCATCTTAAGAGAATGTTAAATCAGATTTAATGTATATCTTTCCCAGAGTAAAGCAATGAATATTTTACACTTAATTCCAAAAGAGTGTTTAAGAGTCTAGTATGGACAGAAAGGTATGACAAAAAATAAAAATCCTTCATGAGCCCTGTTTCACATTCTTTGCTATTCTAGGCTATCAGTAGATGCCTACTACTGTCATTAAATTAGGAACATCAAATTAGAAATCATCACAAGTTTTTCCTCTTTGGATATTTTGCTCATCTATTTTCCAAGCTATGTTTTCATTCTCTACAATCCAAAACCATTTCAGAAAAAAAATTCTCATCCTGGTCTCTGCATTTCACAAGGCTAACTGGTATGCTGTGGGAAGTTGTGTGCCTGCCCCACCTTTTATTTATTTATTTTTAATTGCTCCCTAACAGGACAGAGGTAACTTAGATTGTTGGCCATTGGGTTAAACATTTTAATAGAATTATTGGTCTGTTCTTACGTGTGAGCCAAATGTTTATGACTGTAATCTTTATCCTCCCTGAACAAGTAGCAGCCCTTGACACGCTCATAACCCCTGTAGTATTCTTCTACTGCATAATCATCTCTTGATCAGATGGAAAATAAGTTATTCCTCGGAGGACAATGGGATTCAGTTGAAGCATCTTCTTCGAGTGCAACTGGGCTGTGGGAATTTTTGTTCTGTTTTAATTCCTCTCTCAAGATGTTTGAGAAAGTCTCTGATAAGAAGTCACAGGTATGGGTAAGGTCCCATGCTGCTTCCATGCTTGAAGGCTTTCCCCTCTCATTCTGTGGCAATTCAGATGGAGTACACGGTCAGACAATGTACTGTTTGCAAAATAACTGCTGTCATAATCCAGGGGCTTAGCGGTCATTCACTTGACATTTCTCCAGCAGAGCTATTTCTCTGTCAATCGTGGAGACATTTCTTTGTCTCTTCCAGGTTGGTAGGAAGCAACCAGGTGACTTGCTTATAAGAAGTAGGTCAGGGAGAGAAAAGCATGCTTATCTTTATTCTGCATTCCATCTTTAACTGGAAGACTAGCAGAATTTAGCACATTCTTTAAAAAGAAAAAATTTTTTTTATTCCTCACCAGAGGGATATGTTTTTATTGACTTTAGAGAGAGAGGGAGAGAGAGAATCATAGATGTGAGAGAGAAACATTGATTGGTTACCTCCCATATGCGCCCTGAACGCGGAACCTAGGAATGTGCCCTGACCCGAATTGAACCCACATCCTTTTGTTGGATGGGATGGTGCTCCAACCAACTGAACCACCAAGCCAGGGCGAATTTAGCACATTCTTGAACTATAATTCTAAATTTGAAGAGAAGAAATAACTGCTAGTTGGGGGTGCTCCTATTCTCTTATGTCCTGTAGAGGAGAGGCTTATCTCATCCTTTCTCCCTGAGAACATTCAATTTCATTGTTCTCTTCCTTGTCAAACCAGAATTGTTTTGGCAGAATGTGTGGCTGACTCTTGTTAATGATGATAATAGCAACATTCTCTCCTGCAACTACTTGCTCCTATCAGTATGCCACACAGAAGACTGGAAAAACCTGACAGTTGTGGCCCAGTGACAGCTTATTTTCAAATGGACAGAGGACTGACCTTCCGGATCATATTAGAGGGCTCTTGGTATGAGAGCCTGAATACTGACCATAGGGCACTTTTATATGGTACCTGGCTTTAAGGCTATGTGTACCTAAGCATTTCCAAACCAAGGACTCTCTTACAAGCATGCCATCGGTTTGTGGGCCCAGTGGTGACAAAGTATATAAATACTGACTATATTTTGAATTCCAATTATTACATTGAATGATATTTAAGCTTTAGATGATGGGTTAGACTAGATGCCCTTTAAGGTTTGTTTCAGTATTAAGAGTCCTATGCTTTGTGGTTATTGCATTACTGCCAAAGGGGAAAAGTGGCTGATTTAATATACTCTAAGGTCAGTGGAAATAAGAACAAGATGGAGCTATTTTAGTTTCTATAAATCTTTTATTCTGGATAATTTCTTTGTGGAATAAATAGTATGTGATTGATACTCTATTTCCTAACAATCTAACCTGACTAGTTTTAGTTTTACAGATGAGCCTTTCACTTGTTTCCTTGTTATTAGATTTTTTTCTACTCTAATGATAAATAATCTTACTTTGCTTTTTAAAATTTTTTTAGGTACTGTCCAAGAAGCTGGAACACTGTTAGCCAGCAAGAGTGTTCGTGTCAACTGTTTGGATGAGGTAAAATTTTTAGAAGTTTAATGAAGTGTTTTACTGCCTGTGAGAATGAACGATATATAAAATCTAATGAGTCGTTTTTCTAGAATTTGTGCTCAAGTTATACTAATATCTAAACCAAATGTAAGCAGATAGGTTTCAAAAGACAAAGAAGCATGTAAGAACATGTATAATTTTATTGGTAATCAAGTAAGTGAAATTAAACCAAAATTGTATCATCTCTTATGAAATGCGGGAAACATTGGACTTTTATATGCTAATAGATTAGGTGGAAATTGGCATTACATTCTGGAGAAAATTTTAGAATTTGTGTTATTTTTAAGTGTATGTACCTTTGATCAAGCAACTCTATTTCTAGGGAAAAGTTAACTAAACCTAAACTCAGCTTTCTAGAGCACTTGTTATCCCAGATAACTCTCTGAGATGTCAGCAATGTCTATTCTGAGCTGTCTAGTATCAGCCACTATCTGTGAATGGCAAATGGGTTTTGTTAACCCTTTATCCACATATGTATAGCGAATTTAGTATCAGACAAAATAAAGTTTAAAGCAGAAAAATTTAATAGATCAAGACTCTAATAGATTAAATTAATAATCCAATGAGAACATGTGAGTCTTAAGCCTTCACTTATAAGCTTTGATTTTCATAAAAAAGATAGAATAGGAGAAATTTGTGAGACCACAATAGTACCTTTCAGAAACCTACAGATTAAGTAGAGAAAAATAATTCAGGGGACAGAAAATTCAGATAACCTAATTAACCCTGTGCTGTGTATAGGACATAAAAAAAACAGTACATCTTTTTACATGAAACATTGATAGTCTTCAGTGTTAAACTATTTTATGGGAAATTATAGCTAATTTCAGACAAACTCACCAAATGTAATAGAATACATTGAAAATGAACAAAAATATCCAAATAATAAAACATCTATCTTGAAATTTTTAAGAAACTCAAAATAACTGTTGGATAAAGGAAGAAATAGAGGTAGAAATTACCTACTATTTAGACCTGAAAAAACATTTATCAAAAAATTGATGTGGGGAAAAAAATACATTGTGTTATAAACATGACAAAAACAGTTTCAGAGATTGCACAGCAAATGGTACAATTGGAATGGCTCGTTACCCTTTTGGAAAGAAACTCTCTCATTGGTTGACTCTGAAAACCAATCCCTGCTAAGAAAACAGCTGGTAAACAAGAAACACCCCAGAGAAAAGCAAAAAAAAAAAAAAAAAAAAAACACACACAACTTTTTATTTAATAAGAAAAGGAGTATCAGAAACAGGAAAGCAGACATGGACTTATGTGCTTAATGCAGATGGCAGTTAAAACACAAGCAGACAAAATAAAATGAGGATGCTTTGTAATGTAGGATGCAAGAGCTTTGCACATCTTCTCTGCTTGTAAGCATGTTATCACATTGTATCAAAAGCTGATTTAAATTTTTTTTTAATTACAGTTCTGTCGTTTTGGGATTATTCACTCTGAGTCAGACAACGTGTCACCGTAGGGTGGGATTGCTTGGTGACTGACTGCCGACCTGTGCTGTGTCCTTTCTTTGCCCCCAGGCGGCACACTAGCCTCTGGTGTACAGATTACGTCATCCTCTAGGGGCAATCACCCTAGTCATGCTCTCCATACATTTTAGCCTCATTCAAAGGGTAATGACCACAGAGTTCATTCCCACTCTCTTAAAAGTGCTTCTGTACAATGAGATCCTGGTTACCCACACCCACCTAAACCACTCCCAACATTTAAATACCACCTCCTTGTAGACACACCCAGCTAGGGGAGTCTTAAAGTTATAATCTTCTTACCATTTTTCCATTACTACGCCCATTAAGTTGCCTCCTGTACAACCACCTGAAAGGTCCCAGCTTCCCTATAATTCTCACATAAACAGCCTTCTGAGAATATTATGGCTTATGTTCAAAATAATAGTCTGGAATCATCAGGAACAATTCAAGTTATGTTAGCATGCTAAGATTTACTAAAGTAAGAGATTATATGTTTTAGAGAGGTTTTCATCCAAAACAACTTTGAAATTCCAGCATTTACAGAACATAATTGTGGATACTGCGAAAATTAACTTGGAAGGGAACAACTTGTTCACTGACCTACCAAATAGTATTAGGTTGGATGTTTCATTGGATATGCACAAAACTTACAGAGACTAACAATGTAGCCTAGTGTAAATACTACCAACCATTTCTCCATATTTATATAACATATAGATAATCAACTCATGTACATGATCAAAATATAAAGTAGTTTGAGAGAGCATTGTTTTAAAAATGATACCATTATAATGTACATTGCCTGCATCTTGCTTTTCTCATTGGCAGTAATTCATGAACATTTCTCCAATTCAATAGATACAGATGAATTCAGTCAATAGTTTTGTGACATTTTGTTATGGATATACCATATTTATTCAGGTTTTCCCTTGGTAGGCATTCTGTTTGTTTTGAGGTTTTTTTCTTTTCTTTTTTTGAATGCATTTGTATGTGTTTGTTCATCTGTTTCGCCAGGAACTAAGTGTGTGTGGTAGAGATGAGAGCCCTGGTAATCTAGGTTCTGTTCCCTGCCCTGGCTGTTTGACTAGTTATGTGAGGCTGAGCTAGTCTTCTCTGACTGTTTGCTAATATATATATATTTTAAATAAGGTAATAGACCATTTTTTTTCCTCAGCAGTTCATGGAAGATCCAAGTGGGGAAGTGAATACAAAAATACTTTATTGATTATAAAGATGACTTTATTAATTCTTGTCATTTTATGTTTTTAATATAATTGCAGGAGTTGCTCATAGTTGGGTGAAAAGGCAAATAAGTAAAATTAATACTTTTTTCCTTTCTGTTAAAGAATGGAATGACTCCTCTAATGCATGCTGCGTATAAAGGAAAACTTGATATGTGCAAATTACTTTTGCGACATGGAGCCGATGTAAATTGTCATCAACATGAACATGGATACACAGCCCTCATGTTCGCTGCACTTTCTGGTGAAGTTTTAGCATTCCTTCTAATATATTATTATTATTAATTACCTACACAAATTTATTGTAAGTTCATATATACTTTTAAATGAAATGCATTTTTATTTATACTAATTTTAAGTTGAATTCTAATGGAAAATGACCGTGAGAATTGGTGTTTGAAAAGTTATTATGTATGAAATGTTATATAATTAATTTGGTGATTTTTTTAGTTATTTAAATCAATTGATTCTTTGTATTGACAGTATACAGTGTGGGGCAAAAGTAGGTTTACAGTTGTGAGTATGCGAAACAATGTTTACTCTTATATTATTATTTATTAATGATTGTATTATTTTCCATATGAACAACTGTAAACCTACTTTTTCCCCACCCTGGATTTTTGTGTAGATTGGGGAGCTAGATCAATTATACTTTCAAGTTGGTTGCTTTGATGTTCTTTATATATTGAAGTAACATGAAGACTTCCTTTTTGTTCTTGGGAAAGGGAGGGAGGGAAACATAGATATGAGAGAGAAATATTGATCAGTTGCCTCATGCATCACCACGAGGAACTGAACCCACAACCCAGGCATGTGCCCTGACCAGAAACTGAACCCAAGACCTTTAGGTTTATGGGATGACGCCCAAGCAACTGATCCGCACTGGCAAGGGCCTATTTAGAAATTTACTTCGATTCATGTTGCTTATGATTTGCTGAATAAGGAGTTGGGAAATATTAATCTAAAATTAAGTCAAGTTATATATAACTATTAAAATCTAAGGAAATGAAGATGTAATGTAATATCATAATTTAAAAGCACTAATTTATATTGTCATAATCCTGGAACAGGAAAGCATTTCTAAGCATGATGTAAAACACAGAATTAAAACAGGACAACATTGACCAATCTGATTACATATAATCTTAACATTTTGATATGGAGGACATACCATATTTAGAGTTAAAATACAAATGAAAAACTAAGGAAAATACTTATTATATACCTTAAAGGGTCATATTATTACATATGAAAAGTTCTTTAAAATCAATTAGAAATGGCAAATACTGCAGTAGAAAATTAAATAGAAAATTGAAAAGAACAAAAGACATACAGCTAGCTAACAAACAGAAAACACTTTCACCAGTAATCAGAGAAATGCAAATTAGAACAATTAGTGATAATTTCTTACCACATTGGCACAGGTTAAGATAAGACTGATAATATGCCCAGCATTGGCACAGGAGTTTCTTTGCACTGTTTTGGGGCGTGTACATCAACCCAACCTTGCTAGAAGGTGGTGCCTGGAGATATGCATTTAAAATATGCATAACCTTTAATCCCACAGTGTTTTCCAGGAATTGTTCCTAAGGAAGTTGTAGTTCAAATTGCAAAAATTAATGGAAAATGCTATCTACTGAGTACAGTTTATTCATATAATAGCTAAATATCTGTAATGTGTCCATTAGTGATACAATGCAAATAGAATAAATGCAAATGGATGGTTAGAGAGAAAAGTGTAGAAAGGTAGACCCCCAACCATTAATAGTTGTCCCAGGGCCTGAAGGTGTGAAGGATGGGATGGGTTAGTAGATACTAGGTAAAGACATATTCATTTTATCTGTCTTTGTTTTGATATTTTTGGTTTGTTTTGACTTTGTACTAAGCATTATCATTAGGAAAAATGTATTTCATTCTGTTAAAAAATGATATTCCCACTCAATTTTTGTATTGCTTGGTGTTTACAGAAGTTTAATTTCTAGTGGGTTCTTTTAGCATTTTACTCTTTGCTATAGTTATGATTTATATTTTACAAAAAGTGAAAATATCCATAAGATGAAAGTTTGTAAGGGAAAAGGGGTACAGATAATTTCATAGGAGGTATTTGAACATTCCTTAATATTAACAAATATGTTCCCTTTAAAAACCTAGGTAATAAAGACATCACATGGGTAATGTTGGAAGCTGGTGCCGAGACAGATGTTGTCAATTCAGTAGGAAGAACAGCAGCTCAGATGGCAGCCTTTGTGGGTGAGTTTTTATGGTAGTTTTACATCAGATTATAGCCAAACTTTTCTCAGTGGAAAGAATACCACTTTGCTTCTCAAAGAATAAATACTGTCATGTTTATTTCTTAAAAAATGTTTACAATCCACCAGGTCTTGTCTAACTTAATGAAATACTCAGACACTTCGGAGAAAATGAACGAGCTGTTTTGAATGTCCATTGTGTGAGATACAACAAATGGCGGGGCTATTTTAGTTACAGTCGGATGCTTTGTATGAGTATATTTTACTTCCCTATGAGAAGTAGTTTAACCTCATGTTTAAGTACATGAACTGTGGAGTCAGCAGTCCTCCGTTTAAATTCTGGTTGTGCTACTCAAGAGCATGTTAATGATTCTGACCTGTAGTTTCCTCGTGGTAATGTGTTCACATGGTTATTGAAAGGATTAAATGAGATGACAGGCTTTACAACTACACCAAATAAATGCCATCAGTTATTGTTGTTAATAATAATTACTATAATGCAATTCTTTCATGGGAAGGAGCATTAATAATATACAGCTGCTTCATTATCCTCGTCATCAACCGCAAATATCTATTGTGTGTGCCCAATATTTCTTAATGTATTAATCCTGTTACTGTACATAATGTAGAGCGTCTGGAAGAGAGTGGGAGTGAATACTTGATCATTTTGGCCGCACTAAATTGGCAGTTAGCAGAGTCCATTGATAGAAAAGCTATAATAAGCTGATATATTGGGAGAGCAGTAAGTGGGCTTGTGGGGACTAATAATTCATTAGAAAAATACTTGATGTTCACAACCTGTATACCAAGCATCACTCTAGCTGCTTTGTCACAGAGGTGAACAAGACAGGCTCTTCATGTGTTCCTGGCACTTGAGGCTAATAGCAGCGATGGACATTGTGAAACAGTACACCCTAAGGGACTGCTTAAGAGTGCCATAGAAATCCATCAGAGAGGGATCTTCTATCCTTATTCCAAGGGGATTTTGAGAAAAATAACATTTCACCTGAGATAAAGTGCAAATTAGTCAGATACAGATTATTGTAACTATATTTTGTTAACTTTTACTATCAAGTTACCTTAAAACTACTGCTAGTAGCTGCCATTGATTATGTCAGTCACTGAGTCACTTTGTGAGTATTATTTTAACTCATGTTCAGGAGGATTTCAGAAAAGGTGTGGCCTTCCTGTGTAAACCTCAGAGAAATATTTATCTCCCATAGTTATTGGGGTTCCCTGGTTGCCCTCAGCACACCTCAAGGATAGCAGTACAGCGCGAAAAGAACTCGAAACTGGGAATCTTGCAGTTTGCATTTTAGTTCATGCCTGCTGCTAGTTAGTTCCGAGGTCATAGGCAGATAGAGCCCTTCACTTTCAGGCGGCTCAGTTTTCTGGTCTGTGCCACGGAGCCTGTGAACAAGGTGATCTGAAGCTCTGCGTGACTGCCAGTTTTCATCAAGTCCACGATGTAACAAAATAGAGCTCAGAGAGCGGTGAGGTACCTTTCCCCAGATCACGGGGCTGGCAGTGGAGGGCTTTCAACCATTAGCACAGTGCTCTTTTCTTTTCCCTAACAGGACTGTATTAATAAAAATCTAAGGTAGAAATTATCGACAGTCCCAACCTAAAATAAGTAATGTTTTCATTGCATTTTAATCTGCTTGGACTAATTTCATAGAAAATTACATCCTTTCATTTCACATTATCTTTTGTAACGTAGCCTCTTTAAAACTCAGCCTTCTCATTTCTTCAAGCTGAACAGTGTGTACACATGTGCACCCATGTGTAAGATTTTTATCTTTTAAAAATGTGATCATATGGATATATTCTTTGCAACTAGTTTTCTTTACTTACCAGTATGCTATAGAAGTTCCTCCCATCTTACTGGTATAAATTCATTTATTTCAACAGCTGCCTAATATTCCATGACGTAGATGTACTACAGTTCACTTAGCTGTCCCCTAGATTTTACAGTTCTTTAAGAATCACTTCACTAAAATAATGTAATAAAGATCCTTGATCTTATGTTTGTGCATGGTCATGCGTTAATATCTGCAAGACATGCTCCAAGATGAAAACTGGCTGAGACACAGGGTATTTTTAATTTTAATGTAAGCCTGTGGCTTTATAAAAGAGCAGAGCAATTCACGTTGCCATTAACCTCCTCATTGAAACTGGGCAGTTTCATGGTTTCATTTTTGGCCAACCTGCTAGTTGAAAAGATGCTACATTGTGAATTTGCTTTCTCATTATTAGTGGAATTGAGCTTCTGTTGTTGGTCCTTTGCATTTTCTTTTCTGTGCATTTCTGCTCCTGTTTGTTACTGATTTTTTCTTTTGGTTGTTTCTTTTATTGATTTGAGGAGCTTTATGCAAATTATGGGTGCTACCCCTTTGTTTATCAAATGTGTCTTAAATGTTTCATGTCAGTCTTTTTCTTTTGGTTTTACAGGATTTTTTGCCATAGAAAATTTATTGTTAAGTAGTCATAGTTTTTCTTTTTATAGAATCTGTTTCTTGTTAAAAGAGATCTTCTTGACTATGAGTTCAATAATATCTTCCGAAGTAGCCTTCAAATTACCAAAAAATCCTATTTTTTTGTACTTCTAAAATTTATTATTTTAGAGTTCATTTTCTGAAGGATATTTAGTTAATTGTGATAGCACCATTTGTTAAACCACACAGCATTTTCCCACAGAATTGAGATACCACTTTTGTGGTGGGTTAAATTGTTTTATACACTGGGATCTATTTCCGGATCCAATATTCTCTTCTGCAGATGTTTGTCCCTTTCTGTGCAGTGATGCCATGTTGTTTTGATCTCACTGGCTTTAAAGTAAAGCAGGTGTCCTTTCAGTTATTCCTCTTTGAATGCAATCCTGCCTTTCCCAAATCCTTTCAGTTCTTGTGAGACTTATTAAATGAATATGTAATTATATACAGAGAATTGACATCTGTATGATGTTAAGACTTCCCATCCAATCACATGGTATGCCTTTATGTTTTTTTTTAAACTTGTTTTTGGTCCTTCAATATTTATTGCATTCCTTTAAATCTGTTTTTTCCTTTAAAATTTATTTAAATAAAACTACCATCTTTAAAAATGTATTTCTAAGTAATTGTAGTTATTGTCCATATTATAAGAAGAATTCCCACCACCACCCCGGCCCCCCCCACCCCCGCCATCATTTCCAGCTGGTATGGGTAATAAAGAGAAAGCTATTGATTTCTTTTTCTTTTCTTGTCATTTTAATTAGAGTCTCCTGGGTTTTATAGCTATTCAGTTTTATTTTCTATTTGAATTAGCTCCAGGCTTCAAAGTAACAAGAAATAATAATAGTGATAATTGGCATGCATTATCTTTTTAATGGAAATATTTTTAGCTTTCCACTTATTATGATACTGTTCTTGGTTTTATCATTGTATAATCCAGTCTTTGTCTTAATTTAGAGTTCTGTTTTTTTTGATATTATATCCATTACTGATTTCTGTTTTCAGCATTTTGTCAGTAATATCTTTGCCCTTTGCTCTCAGTTTTAATCATTTCATTTTTGTAGTGTAACTACTTTATACCTATATATTTATAAACATATAGGTGGGTTTTGTTTTATAACCCAAAAGATATTCTCTCTTTTAAAAGGTATTCATTCAGCTTTTGCCCATTCCACATAATTACCAGTAGACTTGATTGCACTCCTTCTCTTTTACTTCAGTTTTTTACTCTTTATTTTACTTGGTGGGTGGGTGGGTGGGTGGGTGGGTGGGTGTGTGTGTGTGTGTGTGTGTGTGTTTGTTTCCTCAATGTGATTGGCCTGGTCATGTTCGGGTACATTTTATTTCTCCTTTTATTAACTTGAACAATCAAGAATGTTTTCCCATTCCACCAGTGCTTACTTTCCTATTCACAATACTCCCAATTAAAACCACAGTTCTCAGTTATCATCTAAAAACAAGAACAAAACCATACCTTGTGCCCCAACCCGAAAGCCCTGCATTTGCCCAGTTAGCGCCCCCAGCGAGAGGAAAACCTTCTAACTCATTGATTTCTTCACATCCTCTGTTTTGGATTTTTAGGCAACAGGCTTTTCTTTCCTCCTCCGTCACTACCGCTAGCTGTGGACTCTGTGGAGAGAGTTTAGCGTATTTAGTAACAATATGTTATTCGGTGTACCTCATGATGTATTCTCTTTCAGGAATTCTCATGGTCAATAGTGTAGTTCCTTGTCATGCCGCCTCCATGGGTCCCATTACCTCTGTGCCCAAGGGCTGCTGTTCTCCATTGCTTCCTCTTTTCCCTCGCTCCATCTTGAGATCTCTGTTCTCATTTAGATTTTAGTGACAGGACCTTCTCAGATGGTATGTAGGTTGTATATTGTTAGAAACTCATCATAACCAAAACTGTCTTTCTCTCGGGAGAATGTGAGTCATATCTTGGCTCGTTTCATGGTTTATGTATCATTGTTTTTTTTTTGCAGTCACATGTAGGAGTTACTCCACAGTTTTCCTCACCCTGGTTTTGCAAATAGAATTTGATGTTATTTTTCTTTATAAATTTTTCAATTCCCATTGTGGAAGCCTGTTTCAACTTCAGTTTATCCAGGAAAGTAAAGAAAAAACATTTTCTAGGCCCTGTCTAGTTCTGTATGTGTTCTCATTAATCTTACCCAGGTCTGACTGACTCAGGCAGACCATTCGATGTACAAGATTCAAGTCCAGGTGATAGCAATACTGGAGCAAAATGCCACACTGGTTCTCCCCGCTCCCAACATTTATTTTCTACATTTAATAGTATTGCTTTATTAGTATGTATTCAGAATTTCTAAGTTAAAAACCAATAAATCTAATAGTTTTGATTATATAAACTTAAATATAAATTAAGTAAAAATTTGTATTTATAATGATAAACTTTAAATATATATATCTCAATATAAATTATTTTTAGGAGCTCTTTTACACCTTTCTTTTAGAACCATTTTTATCACTAGATATGGCTTAGAGAAGTTTCATAGGGATCCACGAGAAGCCATAATGTGGATTCCAGGCTTATGGGAGCAGAAGCTTTTCTCAAATTCCATGGGAGTGGAGATTAGTTTACTAATATGAATACTAAATATAATGATGAAAAAAAGTTCTATAGAATTGAAATTCTGTATAAAGAAAGCCAGCTGTGATTAAAGAATAATGACCATCATTTATATAGGGGTGGAAGAAGAAACACTTAAATTATAAGCAACCTTTGTAAAATATTTAGGGTAAAAAAATTGTAAGTTGTACAATACTTTTTTTTTTTGTAATCCACATAGTCTTCATACATATTAGAATTCTGCATCTTTAAGAAGAGATTATTTCTGGACTTCACAAAGCATGCTATAAATGTTCCCCAAAACCTTTACCTCTCTTCCTCTTCTACTCTGCTTTCTTGAAAATGAAAACTGTTGATGCATGTTTACTTCACAGGAAAACAGCAACATAATCAGAGCAACATAATCAATTTTTTGAAAAAAAATGGAAAATATCTTATTGTGAATAACAAAATAACCGATTTCCTGGGTTTTGTTTTGTTTTTTGCTAAAAGGTCAACATGATTGTGTAACTGTAATCAACAATTTCTTTCCTCGAGAGAGACTGGATTATTACACTAAACCCCAGGGACTGGATAAAGAGCCGAAACTGCCCCCAAAGTTGGCGGGCCCACTGCACAAAATTATCACTACAACAAATCTTCACCCTGTTAAGGTAGTATAGTGTTTTAATGGCATTTGCTTTTTATTTAAATATTGCTTCAGAGTCTAAACTGCTCTTACTATATAGGGTTATAACTGTCTTGGTTGGGTTCTGTAAGTGCAGAGCTTGCAGTGAGCGCTCTTAATTCAGGTGATACAGTGAAGGAGTGCTCGCATTGGAAACCTGGAACAGAGACGGGACACAGACTAGAGAGGAGGAAAAGCTAGGCCAAGAGGAGGGTTCAGCTGCAGCCTCACCTCCATGGGATTTCACAGGGAGACCTGCCCTGTTGGTGGCCCCAGGGAGGCAAGGGAGCCAGGCTTCATTTTTAAATGTAAATAGCTATTTGAGGACCTTAAACAATACAGTTTTTCCAGGAATTAGTCAAATCACACAGATTTTTAAACTTTGTAGAGTAACCCAGAAGTTCAGACGGCTTAACTGGGAAACTTTAAGAGCTCTTCTGAACTATTTTCACAGCTATTTAGTTCATATTTTATATGCAGCCTTTTTGTTTGTAAAATAAATTTTAATCAGGCCAAGTGACTATAATGTCTTTAATGAGTAATTACAGAAAACTATGTGTACTACAATAATGCTGTCCTTTATCAGATCTCAATGTCTGTTCTAGTATTCATTCATAATGTATAGATTTGATAGTAATTCAGAGCTGTTTGGTGAGCAGGAAAGTAAGTTGGATCAAAAATTGAGAGTTTTCCTTTAAAACAAGGTGTTACTATAATGTAGCGAAATAGAGTTCCTTAGAAGGCTATTAGAAAAAAGAATCTGTGGAGTATACTGAACACCATTAAAGTAAGTGGACAATTCTCATAAACTCCTTTGACAGTGCACACTCATTTGAAAACATAAAGTTGTAAATTGTATGTAATCTTACTACTTTATAGATGCATTCCTTTCCATAGTCTTTGAAGCTCAAAAAAAATCCAAACAATGAACAAAAAATCACTGCATTTTGCCATGTATAGTGCATACTTTTTTGCCCAAATATTTGAGAGAAAAATAAGGACATGCCTTATACATGGGTAGTAGTAATTCTGTATCTATATGTTTTTAATTCTTTAATTTATGCTTATGAGTTAAAAGTGTAACTATAGAAAGCAGTAATGATATCTGCAAAATAATAACCTGGAATACGATAATCAGTTTTGTTTCTAAATATAAATAAGTAAAAAATTGAATTAAAAAGTTAAGTCTTCTTTCTAAAAGTTTGAGCCAAAAATGCAGGTATACGTTGTACACAGGAGTGCATTATACACAGCAAAATACCGGACCTGCCATGTGGCCCTTCACCCAAATTAATTTTCTGGGCTATCAAGAGAGATAGATGAAAAACTAGCAGATCTTTCCCATAAGACAGATGAGCCTATGCTGTTTTTATTTTTCAAAACTCCAGTGTTTCACTTAACATTCCAAAAAAAACCGCTAGAGGCAAACTTGTGATCCTAAGCAGGCAGGAAATTCAGCTGTGAATCACATGTTTGTATTTCTAGTGGAGATTATATGGGGCTTAGAATTTAACCTTTAGAAAATATTGAGCCTCTTCTGTATCAGTGATTCTTGTCCACCCAGCACAGAGGGAAAAACAGGACCGCTATAAATAGCAGTAACCGCACCTCCATGGCACTGTTGCTTAGGAGGGGGTGGGCAGGGGTGAGAAGTCAGGGCTTTTCCTAGGGATACAGTATTTCTCAGCGCAGAGTGTGTGTGTGGTTTTACAAAGCCCTCGTTGTTACCCGTGTAGCCAGAGCACTACTGGATATTCTGGTTTAGATTGATTTGAAGATGTTCCCTGCATTTTTCTGATTCACTGTCTTTTATATCTGTGTTTCTACCCCTTGAGATTGCAATAATCTCAATTATTGCAGTATTTGAGTCTGTAGAGTAATTTTTGAGGTTTGCATGGAACCTAGTTTCTCAGGATTAAATGTCTAACAATTATGGTACCTTCAATTATTTTGAGTAAATCACATTAAGGGCATGTTTATACAGGCAATACATTATAAAGGCATATAAACTGAAATAGCCTACATTATAGTTTTTAGAGCACTTGGCCTCACAAGAGCTGCTATTCTACAGTTATAGTAACTTTCTTTAGGAACAGCCCTTCATTTTTGTGGGCATAAATGGTCTATTCACTTGAAAACCTTTCTTTTATTCACACTTCGGTTAAAAGCTGCCCAGTAGCTTTTGTGGTGGACCATTTTCATTACTTTACCCCTTTTCAAGCTGGCATTGGTCTTCATAGGGAGCATTATGAAAAATGTAGTTAACAGCCATTCTATACAGCTGAAGACGTTTAAAAATGCACACAGGAGTCCTCCTCAATACACAATTCATCTTTTCCTGCAGTGCACCTGACACAGCTACATTTGAGTCGAGGTTAAGTGGCTGCTATAGCAATAAGAATGTTTGTTTTAAACAGGGACTTGGGGAATTGTGCTGCTGCCCAGAATACAGAGGTTAGAAAGGAGAAAACCACATTCATACTCACACTCACACACACACGATGACAGAGGGCCTCCAAGTGGTCAGGAGGCAGATGTACCGGAACGATCCTATTTTTAATTGTTTACATGATTTTTAAGCCAAGCATTGTTGATTTAGTAATTAAAAAAAAATAAAAAGAATCCAAAATGCCACAGTGTAAATATATTCTAAGGTAGCTGTTCTCTGGGAGATGAGATGTATCTGGCTTTTATATCTACAGGAATATATTTATTTCTCCTCAATAATTAATAATGATTTTCTTTATATTATATTACTTTATAATGTTGCAGAGATTAAAGGAAGGAAAGTAGGTCAAGTATTATAATTTTGTGTGCAGCTATGTAAATGTTTTTGTAAGCTCATGGTATAGCTGTGTTGATGTAACATTTCGTTTTGTATGTATTTTTATATATTATAAAAGAAATAGAGCCTAATGTGTTAACAAAAAGTCATTAATCTGAGTTCTACTTGAGATTTTTTTGAAGATGTTAAACTTAAAAGTTTAAGATCCTATGCTTTGATTATAAATGCTGTATACAAAAATACTGAACAAACAGCTTCAAGTGATTATAATTAACTGCAGAAATATAAATGGCCTATTAATGAGTCTTCACTACCACGATTAATTTTTGATATGTTATGGAAGGGAAAGTTGTCAACAAATTTACCTCCGGTGATTCTGATTATACTTAGTTTATGAAGTCTATTTATTATTGAGTGTCATATTTTAAGTAAAAGACAAGATTATATATCAACCTAGTAGTGTCAAAAATAAGTAAAACTCATATTTTAACTTCACAAGAACACTTAGTCTATATAAAACTTCCAAGTAGGAGACTAGGTCTGTGTTTTTCTTAAATTAACACATTTTCTTTTTTTTATGTCTAAAGAAAAGGATCTAATTCACGCACTCTGCTACCTGGGGTGCCCCAACATTTACATTACCAAGGATAAGTGTTTAGCTGTAACATGGATAACAAACACTGGCTTTCTGCTCTGTGCATACAGTCATGTCTAGGTTACATACATGTTTACATTACTGTTATGTCATGGGATTTTAATAGCTGCCCTGTGCAGACCTACTGTAGGTAATCTACCCTATAACAAAGCCAGTAAAAAAAAAAAAACCACACACACACACACACATACCCCACCCCCACCCACCCACTAGCTAAATTTGTACATATATGGAAAGTTTAGGACTCATAATGCTTCACATTTAATAGTCTAATATTCTTCCCTTTAAAGCTATTTTTGCTTTCCTCTTTGATCTATTTTCATTACTCTGGATGATTAGAACATATTAGGAAAATTTCCACAGAGAAATGTAGTTAATCAGAAAGTAATACACCTTTTATTTTTAGACTTATTTCTATAAAAATCTCATTTCCTTATAATTAATAAGAATTAATGAGAGTTGTAGTTCTTCTAGCCATGAAATTCTAAAGCTCAGTAATGTTAAAATAGTGATTGCTCGTTGATTTGATTCACTATATAAAGGGTATGCAAATATGCCATCTTTATCTTGAGTAAAAGCACTTCTAATGGAGGTACTAAAACCATGACTCTGAGTAGCCAACTAATACCCTGGTTTAGCTAGATGGCAGATCACATGCTAACTCTGACATATAGAGTTCCCAGAGATTCCACAGTATCAGGGTCCCTTTGTATTTTTTTATAACTTTGGTCAAGGCCATTTGCATTCTAATTTGAATTAACATAGTAATATTTGGTAATCTTTTGAAATCAACTAAAACTGACTACCTAATTTTTACATGGAAAAGTCCCTCATGGAATTCCTAAGCTCACTAGAATTTCTTCTAGATCGTGATGCTTATAAATGAGAATCCTCTGCTGGCAGAAGAGGCAGCTCTGAATAAATGCTACAAGGTGATGGATTTGATTTGTGAGAAATGTATGAAGCAAAGAGACATGAATGAAGTATTAGCCGTGAAAATGCATTACATCAGCTGTATCTTTCAGAAATGTATTAGCTTCCTAAAGGATGGAGAGAATAAACTGGACACTCTGATCAAAAGGTACTGTTTTTACCATGTCATGTATAAAATACACTCAAATGGGTAATATTTCATTAGATGAAGCTTCGTTATAGATTAAAAATTTAAGCATTTTAGCAGCTGTTGTGACAGTTGGGATCACATTTAGTCTGTAAGAAATAGGGACAATTTTATACTTAGACTGTAGACTGATTATTTTGTTCTCTACCCTTTGTAATGTTTTTGTTAGCCCAAGTGACAGGTGAGGAGTCAGGTTTGGAGAGGTGAAGCGCGATGCATAAGCTCAAACAGCTAGAGAGTGGCCCACGGCCAAGTGTGAGGACAGGAATGCCACGCTACAGGTGGCTGTTCTAGATTCATAATGGCACTCAGCATGTCTCCATTGCTGTACCTGGGACAGCTGTGTATTTATTACCTTTGTTGTCTAACCATCAGGGATCAAATTCTCATACAGTTTTATGGAGAAAAGTTAACTAAGTTGGAAGGGTGTGACTTGATGTGAATTGTCATTCATTGTACAAATAACCGACGTGGTAATAATTAACTAGCTAATCTGATAATAGATTAGTGTGTTTCATGGCAGGGGTCACTTTTATAACTACCTCTCCGGGCCCTAAACCTGATAATGCCTCACATAACATGGGCGGAGAACAGCAGTTTGAATTGAGCCTAATCATCATGATTTGAAGAGACAATGAAACTCTTAAATACCCAAGAAACTACTAAAAGTTCATGGGTTCACAGGGAGGAAATACGTAGTGATTCAATTCCACTTGTGTTTTAAAAACTGCCTTGCAGCCTGCTGAAAGGCCGGCCCTCTGACGGCTTTCCCGTGTGCCAAGAGAAGCTCATCAGAGAGAGCATCAGGAAGTTTCCCTACTGCGAAGCCACCCTCCTGCAGCAGCTGGTGCGCAGCATCGCTCCCGTGGAAATTGTAAGCTCTCAGTAGCTCAGTGACCGCTGGTGGGGAGACCTGGTTAGCAGACTGAGTGCAGTTAAAGGCACGTTCTCTTTAGTACTAACTAATTATTTAGGGAAGGGATTAATTATTATTTTAGAAAAATTTCAGGAACAAATGCGGAGTTAGGTCTGCCTGTTAACCCTGTTTCTGTTTGTCCATTCCCCTCCTTTCCTTCCATTTATGTAGCTTGTGGTTTAAGAAACAATGTTTCCCTATGTCGGAATGTCGATGGTTCCAGTGAAAACTGGCACTTTTAAATACCTGTGTGAACCTGTGAAGGCGGGAACACATCTGCTATGGAATACAGATGCACACGTGTTCACGTGTAGCTTGTGAAAAACCTAGATGCAGACAGGTCCTGGTCTCCTAGGTGGCTGGGTTTTGGGCAGCGGAGATGTGAAGGGAGGAGTCGAGGCTCACCGTATGTCCCGATGAACAGTCTCAAAGTGCCTTCCAGCTTCTTAGGCTCTACCTCACTGCCTCTGGCTTTATGCATTTTCCATTCTTAAAAGGAAAAAAAAAATCTGCTTATACTTTGCAGCCGTGGGAAGTAAATTTTAACTTTATTTTCTGTTCTTTAAATTGCTTATTGCCCTTTTGTCCTGTATATTGAAGCAGCATTTCATAAAACACTCCCTGCCTTCACTATTTTGAATAGTTTTCTGTTCGCCTTCTCTGTAGAAGTTATGCTTTTGTAAATAGCAGTCAAATCCTTTATCAGCCTTCGTCTATAAGGCTCGAAATCGATCCTGACACTAATCCTGCCCATGGCTTCCTCCCTTCCTCTGGCAGTGTTGGCTTTTCTCTGCCATCCCTAGGGTGTTGTATCCCACTGTGTGAAAATCAGCAGTAGATGTGGGCTCCAGGTGCTTCTCTGTACATTAACACATCACCTGTTCAGAACCATGAACTACGAAAGACCTGAGCAGACAAGATGATCTCACCAAGTTCCTCCATTGATTTATGCATGAGAACTCTCCATGCTTTCCCACAGAGATGTGTTACCCCTTTTAATATACTTGGCTACTTAGTGTTTAAGCTTTTGGAAGATTAGTTAGCAAATTGTAAGGCTGGTTTATTAATTATGAATGTGTTTTGGCTGTACATGTCGAAGTCCAGCCAACCATGAATTAGATAAATAAGGGTTTATTTATTTACTTATACTCAGAAGCTCCCAAATAAGCAGACCAGATCTGGCACAGTGGCTCAAAAATAGATAGATTGGGGACCCCACATTCTCCCACTCAATACTCTCTTGCCGTGTAGACTCTCCTCCTCAGGCTTATGGCCTCATGGCGACAAGGCACCTGCTGCACTTCCTCCGAGCTCACACTGCTACCCGAGGCGGGCGGAGAGGGAAAGGGTCTACAGCTGGGAAACCTGAGCTGTCCCAGAAGCCCACTGCCTGTGCTGCATGACCGCTCTTAGCTGCACAGGCATCTGGGCAAGTGAGTGTTTTTGACTGGTTTTAACACTACTGTTCTGAACAAAATTATGCTTCTATTAGTAAGGATGTAGGGGAAACGGCTATCAAAGAACCAGCTAGCAAAGGCTGCTATGGGGTATTTCCAGCATTAACAAGCAGTAGTTGACATTCTGTAGTCAAGGGGAAAACAGAAGAACTAAAAATAGCAGCCCAGAGTCCTTTTTAAAAAGTTAAAGCAGGTCGGTGTAGAGGTCAGAAATTCATCATTTTAGCCCTTTATCATAGAATAATGTAGTTGGAGTTTATGGAGTATAACGATTCTTCATCCTAGTGATCTGAGTCATTGAGAAGAGCTTTATTAACAAAGATAAAGTAGGATTTAAGGCATTTTAGAAGAATTTCTCTTTAAAAATTTTTGTTCTTTCAGAGTCACATACTCTGTTCTCTGGAAAACTCTATTTGGAATGCCTGTGGCCGCTGTTTACTTTCCGATGGGTTTTGTGATACCGCAAGCTGATAAGCCTTGAAGCAGTGCTAACCTTTTCCCAGCACAAGGGGGTTCTCTGGCTGGCTCCCACGAGGACCACTGCGGGCCCCGTCTCACAGTGCTGGTGCCAGGGCCTGCTGCAGAGGGTATTTTTTTTTTTTTTAATTTTTTTATTAAAAATTTTTTTTTTTAATCCTCACCTGAGGATATTTATTGATTTTTCTTTTTTTTTTTAGAGAGAGAGAAAAAAGGAGAGAGTGAGAGTCAGAGAGAGACATGTCAATGTGAGAGAGAAACATCAATCTGTTGCCTCTCATATGCACCCAACTGGGGATCAAACCGGCAACCTAGGTATCTGCCCTGACCGGGGATCAAACCCACAACCTTTTGGTGTATAGGTCAGTGCTCCAACCAGCTGAGCCACCTGGCCAGAGCTGCTGCAGAGGTTTTGATTCCCCCGTGTAGTGCGGAATTCTGGCTTCTGTCACAAAGTTCAGCAGGAAGTGTGGGGCATGGATACACTTTAGAAATCTTGCTTCAACCTTATAACAGATTATACTGTTAAAGCTGTTTTGCTTTATCAATTCACAGTGCATATTTTAACTTGTGGAAGGCTAGGTAATGTCTCTGATTTTATAGGATACAGTGAATACAGTGTCTTGTTTGATTTTAGGCTGAATGTCTTCCATGGGCGGAGCTTTAGTACCTAAAGGGATTCTTATTTAGTAAAGTAGGTGACAGGATTTTATATAGCAAGAAAGAGTTCTCATCATCCAGTAGGGACAAGAAGATTCCATGTGGCTACCTAGCTGTGTCATCAATTTTCTTTCTGAAGCAATAGTTCATATTAACAGCTGTGCTTCCAGCAAAATAGCCTTTAGTATTATCTTTGGCTACATCTGTGAGAATGTTAATGTATTCTGACTCCCACAAAAGTCCCATTTTGTGGGGGGGATTTTGAATATGTCTCAGTCACTTTTGTGAAAAAATACTTGAACATTAAAGTGTAATTGTTAGGAATCTGTTGAATGTATGGTAATCTCTTGATTTGTGGACCAGATAATCGTCTTATCCAGCACTCTACTTTTGAGGCCAAAAAAATAAAAATTTATATAGATTAATAAGTATTTAGTGTAACATTAAGTACTGGTAATTCTCAAACTTTTAGTATGTTTCAGAGTTATCTGTAACACAACAGGTACATGGACCACCACATCCTTAGAGATTCAAACTTAGAAGGTATGGGATGATGGATTGATCTGAATTTTAAACAAGCTCTCTGATGCACACATCATGTGAGCACACTGCTTCATTCCTGCTAAAATATAGTGACTTGAATATCCAGTATCTGAGGTTTCATTTCACCAATTCTTTTTTCACCATTATACTATCTTTATTCCAAAAGAGAATTCTTAGCACTTTAATATAAAGGGAAACCCAGTCATTATATTTGTTTTCTGGAGGAGCATAACAATTTCAAAATAAGTGCTACTTTTAAAACACTTCTTAAATCATTTGAATATTTTGTTTGAATATCTTGAGCATACAGAACAGTAGAAAGCAATGTTCTAATAAGAAAATCGCACTCAGAGTTCCTTGTTCTGTATCAGAAATCTGTGGGGCTTATGGGATAATCCTAATTGAAAAATACTTCTATTCTAGAAGAAGGCCAACCCTTTATCTTTGAATATTTGGAGCCACGACTTACCTCTCGTATACTTTGTGTAGAAAAATACTCAAAATGCTATTTGTCATTTTGTCGTAGATAAAGTCTGTGTAATCTCTAGCCTTAATGATTTTGTCTCTTGTGTGTCTGCTTCTAGACAACATTGTTCATGGAGTGTCATCTGAGTAGAACTTCATGTGATTTTTGAGTGTTTTTTATCTCTTTATGCTCACTGTAGGGTTCTGATCCCACTGCGTTCTCTGTACTTACTCAAGCCATCACTGGTCAGGTGGGTTTTGTGGATGTCGAATTTTGCACCACCTGTGGAGAAAAGGGAGCAAGTAAAAGATGCTCAGTATGCAAAATGGTAAGAATGAAGTTCTTTGAAGTTCATTAACATCTGGTTTAGATTTCATCCAAGTTGATAACTGAGTTTTAATATTCTGTAAATATAATGGTTGACATTAGTTTTTAATAAATTCTAATACATTATATATAAAGTATTGCATCTAATATTGAAAAGTAATTTGGAAGAGAAGTAAGGATAAGTGTAGTTCTGTACCCAACCTTTGGCCAAACGTCCAGGCTGTCCCAACTTTTGTGCTGACCACCCCAAATAAAGAAAGGATGTGAATAAATGAATGAACATGAGAAATAAGAGAAAGATCATACATAGGGGGCGGAGACTAGTGCAGAAATGAGAACCTAGGACAGGACAATTTATAAATATACAATCTTAAACACTCTGACACTGACTTTACAGTCTCTTCATCAACTCTTTCTTGAAGCGTTGTAACTGCTTCTGACTGTCACAGGCTTTAAGCTCTCTGGACTATACCACCTACTTCTGCCAGAATTATCTTCACAAAGATAACTCTTTACAATAGCATTTGCCTGTTGTTTTTCTTACATTCAGATATTGCACATATGCATGTGTCTGGACATTTGCTTTACTCTACAGATAGTTAATTTCTTCTTGTTTTTAAGGTTGTCGTTCTTCAGCATATTCTTCTGTGACCCATCCCATTTTGCTCTAACCTACTTCTCCAGTTTTATCTCCTTTAATTACTTACTTCTCTGAGTCTCAGTTTCTTTACATGTGAAACGGGGCTAGAGCTGTAAGGATTAAAAGAGACCACCTGCACAGGTTAAGTATTGCTGAATATAAAAACACTCCAAAAGTCAGTATTTAAATCATCATTATTTTCCCATGTCTGTGGCTGAGCCAGGGCACTTTGGTCTCCAGGTGTCAGGTCTCCCGGTGTCTCTCATGCTCCTCGGACCAGCAGGCCTGGCCGAGCATGTTCTCATGGCGATGGCAGAAGCGTGAGTCCACTATTAGGAACACATATGAGACCTCTTCAGGTCTAGCCTTGAAACTGCCATGTTATATCTCATTCCTTTGGCCAAAACAAGCCACATGGCCAAATTTAAAGCCAGTTTTCCTCCCCTTTAGTAAAAAGACCTCTTTACAATCCCATGGAAAGGTGTATGAATGCAGGGAAGAATAAGAATTGGGCCCATAATACAATCTCTACAGCACCATTAATGTGTAAGGGGCTACCATAAATGCTTGGCATATAATCTCACAGAAGTCTGGTCTTCATTTACACAGAACTTTTTGCTGTCCTTGAACCTGTCATTCACGTCCCCTTTCCTGCATTTTTGTACAAGATACTCCCTGCACTTGGAATGCTTTTCCAGTTTTGTGCCCACTGACTCCTCCAGCGAGAGTGGGTCACTGCTTCCTGTGTGTTCCCGTCGCTGTTACGTCCCACACCAGGACACGTGTTTGACTCCCTGTGTGCTGCCCCATCCTCTCTTTCTCAGCCCCAGCTTCCTCTGGGACAGCAGTTGGCACTGTATCAATCCTGGCACATAGTAGGTTCTTAGATAAATCATTTGTTCAGAGTTTTTGGTAGACCATTGTTATATATCCATTATTTTTATAAAGTGCAAGTCTAAAAATTACAATTATAAATTAATACACATACACACGTCATGGTTTCAGAATAAAGTATAGAAAGGTTAACATTTTGATGGCATAGTTCTTGATCTAATGTCATACTTTGAAAAATCCTGTAATCACAGCTCTCAAAATGAAAATAAACCTACTGTTGCTTTCAGGTAATATATTGCGATCAAGCCTGCCAGAAGACACACTGGTTTGCACATAAGAAAATCTGTAAGAACCTCAAGGACATTTATGAGAAACAATTGGAAGCTGCGAAAGAAAAGAGTGAAGAGGAGAAGAGTATGTATATAAAAACCAAGCTGGTACTGCTTCGTAGTGGGGAGAGGAGTGATGGCTGACACTAACACAGGCCCCAGAAATGGAGTCTTCTCTGGGGACTGACGAAGCCTGGGGGTGACTGACATAAGGATCACACTTCTGTGTGATCTCAGATATGGCCCTAGTCAGCCTGGCTGTTGCTGGAAAACAAAAGACAAAGTTGTGGTTTTATTTCACATCCAGCTTTCTGACTGCCCTAGGACTGTGGGACTCTTACAGAGTATTTACTTATATTCTGCTTACAGAGGATTTTGAGGTCTTTGAATAAGGGAATAATTAAATTTCCCCTAATGGCTACCCAAAGATTTTGAGGTTGTGTAGCTTTTAAATTTCTTAACTAAAACAGTACAGGTGAAATTGGAGCAGATTTATGAATTCCAGCTAAATTGCAGATCTAATAATGCACAGATTATATTTCTGCAAGTGTCAGAGCAGTGAATTCTGTAGCATTTTCCCTCTCCCTTCCTCATAAAGTATATGATGACTCATTTTGGTCCAACAGTGAGCTACTTCAGCAGTGATTTGCATGTTTGGCGGCGGGGGGGGGGGGCGCGGGGATGCCGCGCTGCAGAGTTCATATCATACATTCTGCGAAGTGCTTGTAGTTAGAAAAAGTTGCCCAGATGACTTTGATACTAAGCACTTACGTTTTCACCCCTCTAGGGACCATGTCTCTTTCACCACTTGGTCGAGAAACGCTGTTAGTGGGATTGGATAATTTGTACAAAATCAAACCTAATTTGTATAAGTAAACTGTTCAGAGAATAGGTCAGGCTTTCTGGCAGCCATGTTTTCTCCTGTTTTCTGGACAAAACTTTTATCTTGTGTGTTGAGGGCAGCAAATAACAGCTGGTCATGTTCTATACAAGTCATGTGAAAGAAAACAGGATTGGCGGTAGAGTGGGAACTCCTGTTTGCTCAACATCAGCATATGCCAAACACTATTCTAAGTGTTACAAACACCTTTATCTGCCACAGGTGTAGAATAAATTTTATTATCTCCCACGTTGCAGGTAAGGAATCAACTCTGTACAGACAGTTAACCCACGGACATGAAGCTAGTGCATGGTAAAGCTATATTGAACACGAACTGTGTCAGATCCCAGACAACAGTCCTGACCTCAAGGCCTGGCTTTGGAGCCAGAGGCCTGAGTGCAAATGCCAATTTTGGTGCTTTACCATCTGTGAAACTTTGAGCAAGTTCACAAACCCCTCTTTTCTCAGATTGTAAAACAATGATAATAGAGATAATTTACTTTTCCAACAACTCTTGTGGTTGTTACAAAGATGAAATAATAATGGAAAGCACTTAGAAGAGTGTCTGGCACATGATAAAAACAAAATGGCTTTTTTTTTTTCCTTTATATCATCAGACGTCAAGCTCGATGTCAATTCTAATTGTGTTAATGAAGAGCAACCAGAGGCTGAAACAGCCGTCTCCGAGGAGGATCACGACCCGAGGGAGTCTGCGGAAGGGGAGAAGGAATCTCTGCAGTGCGATGCTGGGTTGGAGTGCTCACAGGGTACTACTGCAGGCCCACTGGCCTCGGAGGAGTAAAAGCCAGAGCACGTGCCAGCGTGGACGGTCCTCGCCCTGACAGTGGCCGGAAAACACGTGACTATGTCTGCATTGCCTTGTGACGCCCGCATGGCACCGTGGCAGGACTTCGTAGAAGAGATGCTTTCCAGCAAAGCCGTGTCTACCATACCCTGATTTCCACTGACTTCTCTTCTATAATTGGACAGATATTACTACGGGAAAAAATTATTTTTCAAAAAACAGGAGAAACATTTCTATTTACTTTCTGAGGCCAACTTTCCAGCAATTGTTTTCAAAGGGAAAAAAAAATTCCCCTTAGAAAAGTAATATGGGCTCTAGGGAACAAAGGGACAAGTATAACAGGTGTAGGAAAGAGGAGATTTTCAAGAAAGAAAAATGTTATAGCTACAGAGATGGGTAGTTAAAAAAATAACTTATGTGTGAATAAAATGCATATAAATAGCATTTACAATAGTGAAGTTCTACTTACTAGGATGTAACGAAGTGAAGAAAGGTTATGTGTTTAAGGATCTTTGCCATAGCTCAGCTAATTATAATTTTGTATAGAAATGATCTCAAACAATCTAAACTTTATGTACTTCCTGCAGTGATGTTTTATCTACATTCAGTATTCGTACCTTCAGAAATACCAAATCCTCCAGAAGGAACTAGGCATTGCCAGAGTTATCTCAGCATGTGCATTAAAAGAAACGTGTCATGACATTTTTGATTAAATATGTCTAAGCATACTGTTTCCACAATCATTGTACAACTAATTCATGTGCCATATTCCGCTTGAAAGGCTGACTTTTATCTTTCTATATGATTTTCATGGGATCCTTCCTGTTCAGAAACTGATTTATAACAGTCATTTGTAGAATGTTCTGGCATCAGTTTTTAGAGCGTGCAGTATTAAACAGTGTATGATAGATAGCTGAAGATAGTGCTGTGTTTCATAGTTTGTGTTGATTGTAAAATAAATTGTACCTATTAATATAACCAACTCTCATCTTGTTTCATACCTTATTGCTGTCAGGGGTGGTAAATATAAGAAAACTTAGGAAACTTGGCAAATATTTGAGAACAAAGTAATTAATATTTACAATCGCAAATCAAAATAACTAGAATTCTCACCTCACTAATCAATTATTCTATCTCGCTGATTCTCTTTTTCCTGAAAAGGAGAGAAAAATTACTTTTCACGCAGTCCCAAACACATACATATGAACACCCCATACCTGCCGCTTTAGGAAGACTGCATGTGAATAAATTCGATACCTGTTTAGGAATGCTCAGGCAGGGTTTTATCTGAACCTGTCATTCATGAAAAACCTTCCTTCATTAAGGTATCTCATTTGCACACATATATAAACATCAATTTTTGGGTAGTATACAATACAGTAGTCCTTGCAGACTACCCTTGCCCAGAAATATGTTTTTTACCTGAGTTCCTTGATTTTTAATTGTTGGGGTTTTTTTTTGTATTTGTGTTGATGTTATTCTGTAATATCATGGTCCCTGTCTTTGGATACCATGTACAGTTATTTAAAAAGAAAAAAAAAGGAAATAGGAAATTTAGAGGTAATGTAGAGGTAATTTTCCCCTTCATTGTGGCAATGTAGAGGTAATTTTCCCCTGCATTGAAATAAATGTTGATATGAATCACAACTCTAACACAGCTGTAAGCGACATAAATAGGAACTTTTACATCGGACAAAGAGGACTTCAAAGATAAACTGACAATATCAAAATTTTCCATGAATGTATTTCAGGAAAGGGGTGGTCAAAAAAGGATGTATAAGAGAAAATGAGGTTGGTTCTGGGTATAATTCCTTCTTTTGTCACAAGTAACCTAAAATAGATGTTACCATTACAACACCATCAAAACTGGTGGTCATCCAGTTATTTTTTTTACTACGTTGAATTATTTTCAGTATGGTATTAAGAAACTTCTTGAAAGTAGGACCTAAAGGGTTAGCATAGTCATACTATTCTAATACATCTTGTACTATTAAGGCATCATTGCATAGATAAAAAAATAAGATCTTCATTTAGTAAAATGCAAATTTCTTCTAATAATTACTTCAGTAGCTAGGAGATTTTTCCCCCCATAACTTAGCTCTAGCATAATTTCTATATCCTTTAAGGACAAAATTCTAGTTTATAAATAGATGGAGGCATCTTTTTAAATGGTGAGCGCTTGTCTAGAGTAATTCAGGGAGGTGCATAATTGGCAAATTCAGGGCAATGTTGCCAGCTAATTCGTAAATTCATAAAACTACTTAATCACAGGACAATTCCAAATGGGTAAGATTTAAATGTGAAAAAAATTATCATTCCTAGAAGAAAACATTAGAACTGTTGGTTGGCAAGATGGTAACAGCCCAAAAGCCACAGAAGAAAACATTCAGCTACATTTAAAAAAAATCTGAACACTTCCGCAAAGATGGGGTAGATGTATTTCTCTCACTAAGTAAAACTAGAAACCCTGACATGTAAAACAAAGAGGCAGACCTGCTGGAGACCTCCAGGTCTCGCAATGATACTCAGTTTGTTCTCTGGGGTTTCTTTTGCCTCCTATGCCCCAGTCTTGGTGCTGAAGAAGCGGGCAACATCCACACAGCTACAGACAAAAATAAGCCCTGACAAACTCCTGCCGGTCTGCTCTCCTGCCCCGTGGATTTCAGACTCAAGACTGAACCATCAACCCGTGCCTGAATTGCCAACCTGCCCCAGCCCACCCTTTGACAAATTCTGGCCTTGTCAGCCCCCACCATGGCATGAACCAATTTCGTAAAATAAATTGCTTTCTCTATATGCACGTACCTGGTTGGTTCTGTTTCTCTGAAGAACCTGACATAGACCAGGTGTCCTAGTTTGGGCTGCTATCACAAATCACTAGACTAAAGCGGCCTGGCCGTACCGCAAACACGTATTTCTCACAGATGTGCAGGCTGGAGCCCGAGATCTGGGTGCCGGCACCGTCGGGTTCGGGGTGAGTGCCCTCTTCCTGGCTGACAGGGGGTTATCTTGCTGCCCTGTAAGGGCACCGACCCCATGAAACATTCATCAAAGTTTCACCCTCATGACCAATTACCTCCGAAAGACCTTTCCCCCAAGTGCCATCTCATTGGGGATTAGACTGCAACATATAAATTTGGGGAGGTGGGGAGGATACAAACATTCAGTCTATGACAACAGTGATATCCCCTAAGCGGCATAATTGCTCTTGGGATGAGAATAACAGGATTAGCTAAAATACAGTATTAAGCATTTACTTTGACAAAGCCACTTTACCTACCACTTTACATGCAGTGTCTAACTTAATCCTTGGAAGTCCATAAGATAGCCGCAATTATTATTTTAAATAATAGGAAATTAAAGCCTAGAGAAGTTAACTAGTCCGAGTGATGTATTCCAGAGCCCCAGCTTGTAGCCACTACCCTGTAGGACCTTTATGTCACGTTCCTTTTGTTTCCTAGTCATGAAATCTCCAGGTGGATCCTGAAATAAATATGCTTTCACTTAAGCCAGCATAAATGGGTCTCTGTTGTTTAAAACAAATAATTGAAAGCACCCTCTCAATTGTGTCTTCCATTTTGGTAGAGTTTTGGGTTACACAGTAAGGATTATGCCTTCTCTATTTTGTGCTTCTCCCCAAACGGTATTTACTACTGTGTTTTTCAATCTCAGACACTTCGTAGCGCTTCATTATTGAATAAAAATGTTCAGTATTGTGTGTGTTTTAAAGCAAATCTTTTCATAAAATGAAACATTTCCATTAGTTTTCTAAAAGGGAGATTAAGTAAAATTTCCTAGCCATATTTTTGTAATTGGAATACATTTTTGCAATATTTTCAGTCATTGTAGGCTTAAAAAACACCAGACTACACATTCTTTTACTACTCTTTGAGTGATTAACCTGGAGATTACACTATCCCATCCTTATTACAATCGAATTAAAAATCAACACTTTTTATGCAACTTAATGAGATCAGGCAGCTTAAACCTGATCTCATTCCCATCAGTAAACCGAGTGTTGCTATACCCAGTCAACATTATTGTTTGGTGGGTCTGATATACTCAGCTCATGATGAGTAGCTTCAATCAAACTATTACTTGATGGTCAACTGTCAGGCTCTGAGTTCTAGAACGAATGGCAGCATCATGCCAAGAACTAACTGAACAGTGACTAGCTAGTTCTCTGCTGCTGATGGTGTGGCCTTATAAAAAACCGCCGAAGACTGGACTGTGACTCTCAGAGTTTTCCAGAGACTTCACAAGGCAACCTTACCTACAACAAATATTTCTAGCACCACGGATTATGCTGGGTTGCTGTATTGTTTATCTATTACTGTGTAACCAGTTATCCCCAAAACTTACCAGCTTGAAGTATCAATGAGCATTATCTCATACTGCTTCCTCAGGCCAGAAATACAGGAGCAGTTTAACTGGGTGGCTCTGGCTTGGGGTCTCTTAGGAGGGTGCATGAAGCTTTCGGCCAGGGCTGCTGTCATCTGAGGCTTTAGCTGGCTCTGGAGGATGACCTGCGACCCGCGCGGTTGTTGGCAGAAGGCCTCAGCGCCTCCCTGGCTTGGGAAGGAGACTCCGTTGCTCGCCACGCAGACCTCTCCAAGGGACTGCTTACGTGCGCTCACAGCACGGCAGCTGGTGTCCTGCAAAGTTAGCAATCCAGGAGAGACAGCGAGAGAACATTTTGATTCTCTCTGTGACCTCGTCTTGGAAGCCACACAACGTTGCTTTTCCCTTGGTATCAGCCATGTGCCCACATCAGTGCCAAACTCTTTTTCTTTTTCTCCCTCTCAACTATAACCTTCTGCCAGGGACCGTACCTGAATTTCAGACTCTGGCTGTGCCCACCGGGAAAAGTTGATCACAGATTCTCAGGGACAGTTTGCTACTCCCTCCAGGGCTTTCATCTCTTGCCTGTTTTGATTTCAGCCCCACTTCTACAGTAAAGCGTAGGAAAAGTAGGTTTACAGTTTTGAGCACACAAAACAGAGTTTCTTCTTGTATTATTATTTACTAATCATTGTGTTCTTTCCCATATGAAGAGCTATAACCCTGCTGTTGCCCCACCCTGTGTGTCTGTGTAGCAGTTCTAAGCCCCATCAGAGAGGGGGAAATGCCACCCTGCTTTTTATAAGCTTCTGATCTAGCTCTTTAGCTCAGCTGGAGGAAACCAGCAATGTGTTTGCACTACCGTAACTGCCCAGTTCTGTGTCTCGCTACCAAGCTACTGCTGGAAGCTTTTCTGGTTTCTCTTTCCTCTAGCAGTATCCTTTTGGCTAGACTAAGCTCAGACTATTCGTCCACATACAAATGACAAATGACTCCAAAACAATAGACTAGACTAATGAATTGTGGTATAGTCATACAATGGAACACTATACAGCAATGAGAACAGCAGAATTACAGCTGTTAGCGACAACATGGTTGAATTAAATACATATAATTCAACTCCTATGATTCTATTTATATGCCTCTCAAAACAGACATAATTAATGTATGGTTTGGAAATCAGGACTGTGATTACTGCTGCAGTGTGGGTAGTAACAAGTAATAGGATTAGTGACAAGAATGAAGAGACTTTTAGAGTGCTGGTGACACGTCCTATTTCTTGAGAATGCCAGTTACATGAATGTTCATTGTTTGAAAATTTGTTGAGCTGAGCACTTAAAATTTGTGTCTATTTCCATGTATGTTTTATTTCAACAAAAATATAACATAAAATGTGGGAATTATTGCCCTGGCTGGGTGGCTTGGTTGGAGTGTCATCCCGTGTGCTGAGGGACTGGGGGTTCAATCCTTGGTCAGTGCGCATATAGGAGGTAACGGATCAATGTTTCTCACATCGATGTTTTTCTCTCTCCCTCTTCCTCTCTAAAATCAATTAAAAAAATGTCCTTGGGTGAGGATTAAAAAAATGTAGGAGTTATTTTTCATTATTGGTGTTTTTTTAATATTTAAATATTTCAAATAATATAATAATAAATATACAATATGCTAAACCACAGAAAAGTTTAATATACAACTGAAAACCACTAGGATTCCTAGAAATACCAGGGGTTATCTCAGTGTAACTGTGAGCATTTGAGCAGGTTCTGTGCCTTTCTCTTCAAGGTATCTTTCCTCTCGTGTCGGAACTGTGTCCCAGTTCAGAGAGGTAAGAGCCATCACTGATCTCTTCATGGACCTTACAAATACAGCATCTTCTGGGTCATCAAACACAGTTCTGCAAAAAGGGCAATTATGTCAGAAAAAAAAAGTAGACCAAAATGAAATTTTAATTTTGATGTATCAATGCCATGTTTTTCTATGGTATTGGTAGTACAGTACCACTAATTTTGGGCTCTATTGACAAATGACTCTCAGGAGAAGTAATGCTATTTTTATTCTATATATTGTTTATTTTAATAATAGAGTTTTGACAAAATTTTGGATCAGCTGTTACAGTTTAGGTCTCACATATTTATACATTCATGTTTTAAACCAGAGTTAAATGAAATGATTAAAATATTTCTAGACCTCAGTCATATTATTATCCTACATACACTTCATTGGGAAATTATTTTCTACATGATGCCTTGATCCTAAAACTCATGCTCATATTTTTTCTAAATGTGCTTGGGGATAATATTTTTCAACACTGAATACAAAAAGAATTCCTAAGTTCAAAATTAAAAAAGAGTAATGGCTTTTAAATTCATTAATATTCATGAACCTGAAATGTATTTCATAGTTTAATGAAGTATTTGCTTTTGAAAATGTAAATTCCAGTGAATATAAAATGTTAATAATTGCTCTCACTGGGCATATTTAGGGGAACAGTAAACAAGAAAGATAAAGACCCTCATTTGTAATAGCTAATAATTCTTAATTTTTTATGCATTAAATCACGCTTTTATTTATTTTAGGTTATAATAATAACATTAAAAATTTAAATATGTCAAAAATGAATAAATACCTTGAATTCATTAATCAAAGAAAGACATAGCAATTTTTTCTATTGAAGAGTTAGCCATTTGTTTAAACTCATTAAAATCTACTTTGGGAAATGGGAATAATTTAGGGGTCAGCGCAATTATTAAATAATTTGATAATAAGTAAAGTTAAAATCACTTACTTGTCTACATTATTCGCAAATGCAAAATCTAAAAAAATACATTGCTAAATTAGTATCTTTCAAATGTTTATTTAGCATTTTAAAACAATGGAACAATGTTGTAAAGGAAATGTCTAGAGCATAGCTATCTGGTTTTTGAGCATGCATTTAGATGAATAATTTAATCCATCAAAAAAGCTTTGATTCCAAACCCCAAATTGAAATTTTCTCTAACATATAGTGTTTTAGGTTTGTCTTATGTTTTGAGGCAAATCTTTAAATACAATACACATTTCAAACCTCTCAGAATTGAATGCTTAATCAACTTAGTTACCAATGAAATTCAAGTGGGAATTTTTATTTTATAGTTGAGATACTGAGTCTCATGTGCAGAATCTGATCCTTTTTTTTTTTTTAAAGATTGGCACATGTATCTATAAATGGAATAATAGGCCAAATGAGGAGAAATATATAAAGTAGTTTAAACCATTTGGATTCTTGGCATTAACTTCAAAGAAATGGAATAAACAAATCCTAGATCACAAGAATCTACATCTTCCCTAGCTTTGGAGCTCAAAGGCTAGTCCTCAAAGCTTGGATTTCTTATGGTATCTTGCAGAGACCGTCATTGCTTTGTTTATTCCTCTTCAGAGGGCCCAGCGCCAGGCTACAGAAGGAATGCAAAAGCACCTGTTGGGCCACCAAAGCCCGCAGTGTGAGCTCTTGCTAATCCATAAGCAGCAGGGAGCACACAGCCTCTGCCTTAAGAGAGGAGTTGATGGCATCCTTCTCTTCACAAGTGGCCGACTCAAGTCTCCCACAAACCACAAAGTTGAAGTACATTAATGTCCACAGTAAAACTTTTCCTTACTAGTCGAGATGGTTTTCAAACCCAGGGGAATCTGATCTCAAAGCTTGTGCTCTTGCCTCTACACTGGTTGTTCTCTAATTGAAATATGCACAGATCACTTGAAAGCCTTGTTAAGACACAGCTTCCTGGGTCTGACCCTTGAGTTTCTAATTTAGTAGATCTCCTTTGGGGCAAGAACTTGTATTTGTAACAAATTACTCAGTGCTGCAGCTGCTGGTTTGGAGACCACACTCTGAGAATCCTTTCTCTATACTATACTTTTCTGCACCCAGAACATGCCCTCCAGACATTACTTCTATTCTATGGGACATACAGAAGTAAAAGAACAAATTATATGACACTTTGTGGAAACAATCATACAAATTCTACATTATTATAACTGGCTTGGTCTCTTCAAAAAGTCATGGGAACAATTTGAAGATCTATTCTAAATTAAAAGAAATTTAAGAGCCATAACAGCAAAATGTAATTAGGAACTTGACTGGATTCTGGTTTGAAAAAGTAGCTATGGAAGCCATCTTGGAATAGCAGAGAAACTTTGAATATGAACTACATATTCAATAATATAAATGTTATTTTTCTTAGGTGTGATAATGGCACTGTGGCTCCACAGGAGAATGTCATTTTTAAATTTACAGGGCAAATTACTTAGGAGCAAAGTGTCATGATGACTGCTACTGAAGTATTTAAATGGTTCAGCAATGCCATCAGGTTTTCCAGTTTACATAAGGCAACATCTCAGTGAAGTGTGGTGAATATGGCAGAATATTATTATTAAATATACATGGGCATATACAGGTATTTAATATTCTTTCAACTTTTTCTATGTTAGAAAAATTTCACAATAAAAAGTTAAGGGAAAAGTCCTGATTTTGCCCTCTTTTTTCTCTTGCTCTGTCTCGAATAATAGTTTAGCTGGTTGTAAAATTCTTGGTTGACTATTACTTTTCCTTAGTATCTTAAAGACATTAGATCACTGTTTTCTGACTTCCATAATTGCAGTTGGAAAGTTTGTTGTGAATCTATACACTATTCTTTTGTAGGTAAATTCATATTTTCTGTCTATTTTAAGATAATTTTGCCTTTGGTGTGGATCTTTGTTGTTACCAGTCTTTTATGTCTTTGGGTTAATTTTGTCTGGTGAATCTAAGGATTTATATCATTTACCAAATTTGGAAAATTTCCAGACATTTTTACTTCAAACATCATCTGCTGCCTAATTTCTCTATTTTTTCCCTTCAGGATTACTAAACTTACACTCAACCGTATCTTTCTAATATCTCCTTACCGCAACAGCTAATAAAATTTTCTGTATCCTGCTTTCTCTATGTTGTATTCTGGGCAATTTTTTCAAAAGCATTTTCCATTTTAATATTTTTCCCTTCATTTCCAGGAAATCTGTCCTTGGATGTATTTTCATTTTCAAACGTATGTTTGCAAAAGTGTCACAAGGAAAAAGTTTTTGTTTTTGTATCTTTAAATCCCTCTTTGTGATCTTGATGGTGCAATGCAGCAGCCAACTTATAACCATAAAACACATTAAGAGTAGCAGAAAAAAAGATATGTGTAATAGTAATGACATCAATGACCTTCACACTAACCCTGGAACCCTACCTCTGTACTTCTTTATTATGTGACAAACATAAACCTATATTAATGTAAGTCACTGCAGTTGGATTTCAGTGACATGAAAGAAATTAATCCCAATTAATGAAACATCTGAATATATTCAACTTACATTTGCATATAATGACCAAAATATTAACAGTGCTTATTTCTGGGTGGAGAAATTGTAGACGATCTTTGTTTCTTCTGAATATGTTTTCTATATTATTCAAAAACTTATAGCCTTCATGGGTGAAATTGTCCAGTGATATGGTATAATAACAACTGTAGTTTCCTTACTAATCCCTTTATATTGTGCTAGTTACTGGGGTAAGGACTTCAGTGTAACATCGCATTATCATCACATTACCTCATTTAATTTAATATATGTAAATAAAGATGAGAACTGCATATCATTGTAATTTGACTAGTAAAATTAAAGGATATTTATTTCACTATGTAGGTACTTAGCTTATTATACATTGCAGTTATTGTTATCAAATTACCCAAAAGTTTGAGAGATTGTAATTTTATTTTTTTCTTTTTTCAAAATACCTGAAGGTACTCTCTGGGCTGGTTTTTGCTTAAATGGTGATCTAGGATTCCATGAGGCATCTACTTTTCCTCTGAATGCTATTGATTGAACAACATGAGCCTTTTTGTGGTTAAAAATTGTAATCATTGATCTTCTTTCTTTTTCTGTAACTTCTGATAAATGCAAAAAGTAATGTTGTTGCATAGCATTATAAATAGATATGCAGAGTAATTCAAAAGAGAACTGAACATCTTCAAAAATATACTTATCTGAATTATGGTATATATAAACATCCTGTCAAAACTAACTTGTGAGGGGCTATCACAGTTATTCCCATAATCTTACAAGTGCCCAGTATATGCCCCTCACGGCACAGGCACGGATCGATCCTAAGGTCTCCCAGGCCCTTTTAACATCACCGCGGGTGACTGACATCACAACTATGATACAGCCCTCATTTCCTCAAGGCTGTAAGGAAGAGGTGGCATAAACATAAGGTTTTGATGTATCCTTATTAAGAAGGTACTTAATAATTATCAAGAATGTTCAAACCTAGACATATAAAGGTAAGTAGATAGATGGGTAATAAAGCAGACCTCAGAAAGTGTAAAATATAATGCACTGTTTTTGTAACTTATATGAATCAGACATACTAGTTTATCTACAATGTCTAAAGATATATGTTTATAAAGAAGGTATTGATTATACACATTTTAATATATATTTACATAATATCAAAGAAGGTGCTTTTTAGAACTTAAATAGACCTTAAGAGATTTAGTCCAATTCTTACATTTTTGAAATAAGAAACTAAGGTACCAGGGGTAAATGACTTTGGCATTCAACACATTAGTGTCTAAATCAGAATCTGGAGACCTATCCTCACACTCACATGAGGTGACCCTTACAAGAGAGTGGTCAAGAAGCATAAATTCCTAAAGCAGGGCAATTTTCATAGAGCAAACATTTCAATAATAATTAAAAAACTTTCATTTATACAAAAATTATTTTCAAAGATAGTCAACCTTTATAAACCACTGAATTATAAGAATTCCTCTCAAATATTTCTCTGCAAGAAAAAGTGTCCTTACGGTTTCGGTCAAGCAACTCCACTCCTGGAAGATGGTAGATTATATACAAACGATACAGATTATATTGGCAAAAAGGGTTTTGGTATAGACCTGCAAAGAAAGAATCCAAACTAAGATGTCATATTTCAAAAATAGTTTCATTTATCACTTGATAAAATATGTACAATTGCAGGATTAATATGAAATATAAGGACAGGCAAAGTGCTGCTTCACAGGTCAAACCAACAGCCTCAGTAAACGCTTATTTATTCAGAGCAGCACTTACTCTTCCTGTCTGTTAAATTCATTCATTCAACAAATATTTTAAGGGCTTACTGTCTACTTGGAACTGTGCTACATGCTAGGGATATATCTTTGACTGAAATTTGCCACAAATGAGAAAAATTTTAATATGTCCATAAATTAATGAGTAAGGACAAACTAGATATGATCTCTAGGGGGCTCTTGATGCAGCTCTTTATCAAAGTTTTAATCACTTGGTTCTCTTCTCCCCATCTCAGAGGTCACAGGATATTTGTGTAGAGATGGGCAAAGATGCAGTGCACTGTCCTAGTACCATTTTCTTTCTCCACTTCATACCACTGCACATAGTTCAGAAGAGGTAAATGGCAGGAGCAGCTTCAGAACTCAGCAGGAACAGAGCTTGAGCAGGAATGATGTTGCATCTTGCCTACCTCTGGTCAGGTGCACAGGTGCCGGGATACCTAAGGAACCATGCTGGCTAATACCGTGGCTGGAGGTGAGAGGCGTGTGGGTGTAGAAGAGCTCCTGATGCTTCTGATGGACATCCCTTATGCACCAGCATGTGAAACATTTTTTAGTCTTCAACAAGAAATTGTGAGGTTTTTATTTTCACGAAAAAGGTAAAGTATTTTCTCTAGTCTTCTTTAGGTAATGTTAAACAGGTGTTCTTTTTTTTTTTTCAATACAATGTGAAATAAAACCTTTACGATTTCCAGTTGGATATCTTCAGCTATTGGATTCATCCTACATGCGATTTCTGAAGAAATACATCTAGTGAGGACCACTAGATGGCAGTAGCAGAAAGAGCTCCAGCTATTGTACAGCTCCATTACTCTTGCAACAATGAGGCTCTTTCAATGTACATGTTAAATTTAGCAGTACTGCTGTAGTATTTGACTGTTTATAAAATACAAACAGACTTGATAAAATCATGAAAATATTAAGCATTAAAAGCCCAGAAAAAGCTGATTAACATTTATAAAAAACCTGAACATGGAGAACATGCTTAAACAACAACAAACTATTTAGATAAAAACTGAAAAAGTTAATCATCTGGTTGTTTTCTCTGTAGTTAATAAAATGTTCTAATATTTCTTGTATAAACACAAGCTTTCCTGGCTAATAAAATTGTTATATATAGCTGTTCCCTGTGGAAAACATGAGTTTTAGGGGGATTTAAGGGAGGCAATGGGAGACGCCTGGTGCATCATAAACAAAAGTTTTGACTGAAGAAAGGCATAAAAGGAAATGTAGAGCCAGGAGCAACCCAAAAAAAAAAAAAGATAAAAGAAAGAAAATATGTATGTATTGGGGGTTAATGAGGGGAAAAATGAAATGGATAGTTTTCAAGATTTCTTAAGTAAGGGCAAAACTGGTTTGAATTTTAATCTTAAAAAAAGAGGCATTTAAAATGGTAACAAATAATTGTAACTACAGGACAGGGAATAGGACAGATGTATATTAAACCAGTAATAAGGACAGATTTAAAAAGATCCACAGGGATCATGCATTGTAGTCTGAGCCAGAGAGAGAAGAGAAACGGACAACCTTCAAGGATATAAAAGCAAAACACAATTGTTTTAACAAGAGTTTATGGGGGAGAAAGAAGTCACATATTCTTTAGTGCCACAGTCTGCCCTGGTTACTATCTTGGAGAATCACATCTGAAGCCTCATAACCCTATCATTCACTACAGCAGGTGAGACCTGGGCCTGCCTTTGCACATGATGTTAATGGAAAATACACCAACACCTTTCAGTGACATTTACTTCTCTGCACACCCTTCATAGTCTCTTTTCCCTCTGAGAACATCACTATTTCATTTTTTTCTTGACCTTTTCTCCTAGTGTTTAGTTAAGTAATATCTTTACATAAATAAAAAAGTCTAGCTTCAGATTTGGATTTACTGCTATTATATTAGTTATTAAAATGTCTCAATACTAAAAACCCAACGTGCTTATTATGGTTCAACATTCATTTCATCATAAAGTAAAATCTAAGTGACAGCAAATCTGAAGACTGTGCCCAGCCTATGCCTGAATTAACTTAAATAAATAAACAGAATTAAATAATTTGAAAGGCATTTAATTTTTATTATTCTTCACTTTTTCCTTAGCTCTTAAATTTTAGAAGGAAGCAGTCTGGCCATGATAGAGGTGTAGGTAGATACGCTTTGCCTCCTCTCACATCCAAAAGGACAACAACACATTTAAAAACAAAAATCAACCAGAACTGCCAGAAAAATCAAACTGTATGGAAGTCCAACAACCAAGTACTTAAAGAAGAAACATTCATCTAGACCAGTAGGACGGGTGCAGGTGGGCAGCCAGGGCAGAAAGGATGCAGCAAGTCAGTGGGCCACGTGGGATAGGTGGCGTCTGGCAGGCCGGGTGTCCGGCTGGCAGACCTGATGGTCCCACATTCACTTGTGGATAAGCCGGGAGGAACAACTGGGGAGCGAGACAGGCTGTGCAACCCAGGGTTCCAGCACAGGAAACTAAAGACTCAAAACCTCTGGCGGAAAAAACCTGGGGGTGTTGTGGCAGTGGGAGAGACCCCAGCCTCACAGGAGAGTCTATTGGAGGAACCAACAGGGTCCTAGAATGTACACAAACCCACGCACCCAGGAATCAGCATCAGAAGGGCCCAATTAGCTCGTGGGTAGCGGACGAAGTGACTGAAAGGCAGCCGAGAGCCAAGCAAGCGACATTGTTCCCTCTCTGACCACCCCCTCCTGCCCACACACAGTGCCACAATGCAGTGACATGGGTCACCTCCCCATACCTAAGGCTCTGCCCCTTGCAACATAACAGGAACACCAAGATAAAGAAATATGGCCCAAATGAGAGAACAGATCAAAACTCCAGAAAAAGAACTAAGTGATGAAGAGATAGCCAACCTATCTGATGCACAATTCAAAACACTGGTAATCAGGACGCTCACAGAAATGATTGAGTTCGGACACAAAATGGAGGGAAAAATGAAGGCTACGTAAAATGAAATAAAGAAAAATATACAGGGAATCGACAGTGAAGGGAAGGAAACTGGGACTCAAATCAATGACTGGGAACAGAAGGAAGAAACAAACATTCACCTGGAACAGAAAGAAGAAACAAGAATTCAGAAAAATGAGGAGAGGCTTAGGAACCTCCAGGACAACTTTAAATGTTCCAACATCTGAACCATAGGGGTGTCATAAAGAGAAGAGGAAGAGCAAGAAATTGAAAACTTATTGGAGAAAATAATGAAGGAAAAGTTCCCCAATCTGGCGAAGGAAATAGACTTCCAGGGAGTCCCAGAAGCTCATTGGACCCAAGGAGGAACACACCGAGACATATCATAATTAAATTACCCAAGATTAAATATAAGGAGAGAATCTTAAAAGCACCAAGAGAATAGGAGAGAGTAACCTACAAAGGAGTTCCCATAGGACTATAAGCTGAGTTCTCAAAAGAAACCTTACTGGAAAGAAAGGGCTGGAAAGAAATATTCAAAGTCATCAAAGGCAAGGACCTACATCCAAGATTGCTCTATCCAGCAAAGCTGTCATTTAGAATGGAAGGGCAGATAAAGCGCTTCCCAGATAAGGTGACATTGAAGGAGTTCACTGTCACCAAGCCCTTATGATAAATGTTAAAGGGACTTACCTAAGAAAAAGATCAAAATCATGAACAGTAAAATGACAACAAACTTACAACTATCAACAGCTAAACCTAAAAAACAAAAACAAAAACAAACTCAGCAAACAACTAGAACAGGAACAGAATCGCAGAAATGGAGATCACATGGAGGGTTATCAGCAGGGAGGGGGAAGGAGGAGAATGGGGGAAAAGCTGCAGGGAATAAGCAGCATAATTGGTAGGTACAAAATAGACAGGGGGAAGACACGAGTAGTACAGGAGATGGAGAAGCCAAAGAACTTATATTTGGACCCATGGACATGAACTAAGGGGGTGTAGGGCAGAGAAGGATAAAGGGGAGAAAAAATGGGACAATTGTAGTAGCGTAATCAATGAAATATATTTTAGAAAAAGAAAAAAATTTAGAAGGAAGCAATCTTATTTTTAACTGTCTTTTTTTCTCCTTCTATACTATTAAGCATTTTACATTTTGGATTTATGAGTTTTGGATTGATGCTAAAAAAATTACCATAAATTAAGTTTTTAAGATATGAAACCGGTTTCCTGTGTCTGAAAGTTCTGAAAGCCTTCCATGATGTATGGGGTACATTCCTTTAGAAACTATGAAGCACAACTGCTTACACTTTCACTTTTAATAGGTTAATACTGTTTAATCCACCTTCCCTCTGGGCTACTTATAGAGAACACCTCAGTGGCGCCAGCACTGTCTTGCTTATCTTAATTTGGGATTCTGAGTCTAAGCAATTTACATTCACCCAATAATATATCAGAATGTCTCTACTACCTTACTGCACATGCTTGAGTTATATGAGTCACATGTGTGAATCTACTTATTATTGAAACAGAAGAGAAAAAATTAGTCATCTAAATAATTGGCTTCGGTTAATTTCGTTTGAACTTTTAAAGCAATAAATAAAATCATAATGTACATGAACCTAAATGTTTTCAAGGCCACCACAGAAGAGACTTGATGTAATTAATAACGTACCAATATATCCATTTTGATACATGGGGAAAATGATGCAGAGAAGCTAGAAGCAGTTATATCCTGTGCCTATCTACACAGGACAGCCTGTGAGAGGAAGTGTAGATCCCAATGATCAGGCATCAAGATTTTAAGGTTCTGGCTCAAGGTTACTTGGTAAGGTCAGCACCTCCAGAAATATTACCATCTTATTTTAACTGAAATCTGTGGGCCACTGCACACCTCTAAAATAGGGGATGAACAGAGTAGAGGGGTCAGAATATTCTCTTCTCCAGGACAAACAGCAGTGAAAAAGACCTAGCTGACTCTTCTGACTGGGGGATTGTTCTGTTCTGTGGTCCCACCTTGAGGGACTTTCCAGGTGAAGAGTTGCAAATGAAGAGACCACCCAGATCATGGCCCCACCCTGATCTCTCAGCAACCCTCTGCACTCCATGGCTGTTTGTCTTCAGCAGGGGCCTAAGGCCCAATGAGGACGGATAGGAAACGTTTAGGAGTAGAACCTGCAGAAAGTGAAGGCCCCCTGTTGTAAAGGACTCACCATCTCCAATGGTTATCCTTATAGCTCTTCTAAGAAGCGAGTCTTAAAAAATATGGAATGTAGGAGTCTAAGTACACTTTCCAATAGTGAAGCTAATGAAAGAAAATTTGACATGTGGAGACTAAAAGTTTAGAAGCAGGAAAGTGTTAAGTATTTTGTTGCTGTTGGTGGTGTTTTACCTCCTCTGTGCTGGGAAAAAAGGCAAGGGGCCAAAGGTTCGTGGATGTCATCAGCCAGGAAGTACGTCTTTGACACATGGAGATCCCGATATAGAAAGAGTTTGGAGGTGTGAAGGGAAGAAGAAAATGGAGTTGGAGAAGGAAGGTGTGGAAAGGTAGGCCACCCGGAGAGGTGTGGAAAGGTAGGCCACCATCCTGACTCAGCCTGGAAGTCAGGACGTCCAGTGTCCAGTACCCCACACTCTGCAGCTGGTTTGATATCTCCCTGAAGCTCCCAGGCATGTGTCTCCTGGGCAACCTCTTGGCAACTCTCATAGATGCCAGTGGAGGGTGTGTGCTGAAATGGGTTAGGGGTTCGCCTCCAGGAAATTCTCTCACCCTCTGAAGGACTTGCCACCGAAGTGGAATAATAACACTTCAGCATTTTATATGATTGGACAACGTGAACACACAACAATTTTTAACATTTTAAAATATATGAATTTCTCATTTGAATGAGCAGAATCTAATCTGTGATTGCAAATGAGGCTCATAGAAACTCATCGTGTTTGCCATGGCTTTTGCCTCACTGCCCAAATACAATCAGTAGTTTAGTAAATGCAAATATTTTTCTATATAATTATGTATGTATTTATTTATTTATTTTTATTGTTGCCCAATTACAGTTGTCCCAATTCCCGCCCCCCCCCCCGTGCTGCTGTTGCCCTCCCCTGGCCCGCCCACCCTCCCCCACTCCCTCGGGCAGTCCCCACTCTGTTGTCCATGTCCAGGGGTCCTTTATACATGTTCCTTGACCAGACCCTTCTCCTTCTTTCCTCCATTTTTCCTCTTCCCCCTCCCCTCTGGTCACTGTCAAATGGTTCCTTCCCACTGATCAGAATAGCCTTCATTAACAAATCAACAAACAATAAGTGCTGTTATGGCTGTGGGGAAAAGGGAACCCTAGCACACTGTTGGTGGGAATGCAGACTGGTGCAGCCACTGTGGGAAACAGTATGGCATTTCCCCAAAAAACTAAAGATGGAATTGCCTTTTGATCCAGCAATCCTGTTGCTGAAACACCAATACCCTAAGAAGCCTGAAACACCAATTCAAAAGAACCTATGCACCCCAATGTTCATAGCAGCACTATTTACAATAGCCAAGGGCCAAAACAGCCTAAGTGCCCATCAGTAAATGAATGAATCAAAAAGATGTGGTACATTTACACAATAGAATACTACACAGCAGAAAGAAAGAACTCCTACCCTTAGTGACAGCATGGATGGAACTGAAGACTATTATGCTAAGTGAAATAAGCCAGGTGGCAAAAGACAAATACCATATTATCTCACCTATAAGTGAATCTATTGAACAACAACAACAAAAAAACGAATGAGCAAAAGAGACCAGAAACATATGTCAGGTATCTCATGCAGCAATATCTTCGCTGATATATCTCCTAGGGTGAGGGATATAAAGGAAAGAATAAACAAATGGGACTACATCAAAGTAAAAAGCTTCAGCATGGCTAAAGACAACAGTAGCAGAATGAAAGGGGAGCCAATTATATGGGAAAATATGTTTGCTAATGATACCTCAGACAACGGTCTGATCTCATATGACTCAACACCAAGAAGAAAAAGAATCCAATTAAAAAATGGGCAAAGAACCTGAACAGACACTTTTCCAAGGAGGACCTGCAGAGGCCACATAGACATATGAAAGCATGCTCAACATCACTAGCCACCAGAGAGAAGCAAATTAAAACCACAATGAGATACCACTTCCATATAATTTTTTTAATGAAATGGGGCCAAGTGTCAAAATGTGCATATTTGCTACCAAAAATTTTCAGAAAACTCTTATTTTTGTAATTGGATACAGCATTTTCTCCATTTCAAAATATGATATCTCTGCAAGATTTCAGTTGGAACAATTATAGTTCTATAACTTGAGTTACATCACTATGATTTTAAGTACAGGTCACTCAAACCGTTGTGATAGGTAATACTATAGACATTATATTACTAAGTTGTCCTAACTGGCTTTCAGAAAACTAGAAAAGGCACTCCTGCACCACACTCAGGGATGATGCAATTCTGTGTTCACACACACACTTGACAGGGCAGTGGGGCACAGCGTGGGTTTGACGCTCCCCTCTTTCCAGGGGCAGGCACAGAATACTGTTGGCTATGATTGGGGAAACCTTGATTGCAAGCCTCCAAATTTTGTATTGTAAAATAAATTTGTTTAAATTGAGTCCTTACAATTAGCAAATTATCCAATTAGTTTTGAATCAAGCCCCTTCAACACTAAGAAATATTTAGCCTGAGAGTTATAAAACCATAGAAGTCCAGAGAGGGTCTTTCCTGGTCACTTTTTTGTCCCCATGTAGTAGAATGTCACATAGTGAATACACGATGAAATTTTGTTGAATGAGTAAATGATAAATATTTATTGAATGAATGAATGAATGATAACTAAAAGAAACAAGGCATAACTACAAGTTTCAACATTTCTTAGTAATTTGGTTAAAGCTCTAAGCCTTGTATTTCCACCAATAAAGAGGAAATAATTTTAATTGTCAAAGGATTGCTGTAAGATTTGAATGAGAATATTATCAGAAAGCATTTTCTCAATAGGAAAAATATTCAAATGTACTATTATGATTATTTAAAATGTCAGTTATATTTTTAAATCTCTTTATTACTTAGCAGAATTTCTAGACTGTGCATCTTAAATCATTATCTCATTTACAAATCTACAATAATTTTTTTGTTGCTACTTTAAAATAGCATTAGTGTCAAGAATTGCTTTAATTTTTTTTTTTTTGCAGAAACAGCTTAATATCTGAAGCAATCCTGAGAGACAGCTATTAACCCATTTTATAGAAAATTGAAGATAAGTGAGAGTTCTGGATCTAGCTAAAAAATGAATAGGAAAAAAAATCCACTTTATGACATTATACAAAGAAGTTTCCAAACTCTATTGATAACCCACTCATTGATCTAAGCATCTTTTTCCTTGGTACACCTAGAACCATTTGTCCTGCATTGAGACTGTGTGTGGGTTTATTCACCCTTCAATACTACAAGCCTATTGAGTAGGAACCATGTATTATTTATTTTTTCAATCTATCTCATACTTCCTTCCAATACTGAGGCCAGTTCCTTGTTGGGTGCGGTTCAGTATTCATGAAAAAGGTTTGTAGTTCATCCAATAAAAACTTAAATAAAAATTTATTTTTTGATGTCAGCTTTATTAATATAACTCATATACCACACAACTCATCCATTTCAAGTGTACAATCTGTGGTTTTTAGTACAGTCACAGAGTTGGACAACCAACACCACAGTCAATTTTATATTTTCATCACCCCCAAAAGAAACCCCTTTCCCCCAGGCTGTACACCCCAGTCCCCTCATCCCCCTGGCCCTGGGGTAGCACTGACATATTTAAAAGTGGCTACTATCTCTCAGTGTTGCTCCCATGATAGATGCACCTATTCTGGATGTGTCATATAATGGAATCATATTATATGTGCTAAAATTTACTTCTAAGGTTAAACCAAAACCCCCGATTTAAACATGTAAATAAATTATCTATGTCACTTTTGTCATTTTCCTTCATTTTCATTAGCATGTCATATCATTCCACAAACATTTTTTTCCTACATGTTCTTTTCGAAACATTTTCAAAAGGAATAGATCTAGCCTTTTTCTCAGGAATATCTAAGTATTTTAGTTATTGATCTACTTTCAATTTAAAAAACAAAAAAGTTCTGTGTTTTACTATTTTGACTTATGGCTATACAAAAGTGCAAATTAATACTTAGGGTCTTCAGATTTAACATTCCCTTTAACTCCTTCACTGTCGCGTCAATGTTTGTTAACTCATTGTGGTGCAGTAGGAGTATATGCAACGAAGGCAAATAGTGCAGGCCTAAAAAAAGTTTTACAAGATTTTAGACACTTTTTAATGTTGACTAAACACACTAACTAAACAAAAGTACAGAATATATTACAGCTAGTGAAAGAAAGAATTATTATCAATAATATTGACAATTATTAAGAATAGAGGAAAGCATAAGAATTCAATTAATTGAGTATAGTGTGGGAATGTAGAGTCAATTTCTTTTCACTGTTTTTGTTTTACAGTTTTTTCCCCATAGCAATGATCTTTTTGTTTGATTTTAGAAGGGTTATTTTATTCATTCTTTTTCTTTGTTTTGTTCTGTTTTGCCAATGTCACTTAGATTTATAATGCCAATCAAGGGAATAATGACTCATTCAGTTCAATACCTCCCCTCAAATTGCTCAACTAAACATTTTCTTTATACCACACAAAGCCAAATACTAATATCATTTTTATGGATTCTAAATTGAAAATTTTCCCACATTTTTAACATAAGTGAAAGTGGGTTGTATCTTTGTAATAGCCACATCATAGTTTAACCAGCAAAAATGTCTTTCTTCATGGTACATGAAATTATGGTAGATCTTAAAATTATAACACTTTGATTCTATGATATATAATATAAAGAAAAATGTTTTGTGTTATACCTCTTCATATTTCATGATCATAGTACACCATGTATTTTTATATATGGTTTGAAATTGTCAGTTTAGAGATTTTTGCACATACAAAATTAATTCAGAGTGAAAGAATTTGATTGGCAAAAATTACAGCCAGTAAAAACATTAAGACTATTTACAAAGTTGTTAGGTTTATGAATGTTCCCAAATATTGTTAAATTTGCTTCTGCAGTATCTAGTTTATGTGCAACTATGCAGTAGAATGGGAAAATTTCTATAATAAAAAATGATTCACTCACTTTTTGAATATCATGACACAAGACAAGATTGCATTAAAACTGTAATCAAAAGCACATTTCTTAGAATGAAATGTACATAATAACATTAGAAAATAATAGATTCCATCACATATTTTCAACATAAATGTTAAAACAGATTTTTGCATGCCATTAATAATCACATAGTTAAATGTTATTATTTAATTGAAAATTCATTCAATCAACAGAGAAAATTTAGACATACCTTCTATGTCAATTATTGCATTGTTGTTTAGATACAGTTCTGTCAGACAATAGTTTCTAGTTAGAAATGTTATTCCATGTAGCTGAAAATAAGAGTTGGAGAACAATTCACTTTCTACAAAATTATATGTACATATCTATATAAAACTATAGTAAGATCTTTAAAGTTTGATGTTTGCTGTTATTTTTAATTATTTGTAATCTTTGGCCTGGGCTATGAATTTACATCTGGATTATCTTTGAGGACAGTGTGGTAAAAAGGATGTTTTCGGCTAACTTAATATAAACCCATCTTACCACATTGTAACCGAACTCCCTTGTATGGTTTACAGAGCCACTGAAAAAGCGCCTAGACCTTTTGCTCTAACAACATTCCACACAATTCTGCTCCTTATAGGCTCATTTGATCTGGCTTCCACAAAATCAACTCATTCACCGTCACATATTATTAATCAAGCACTTAGTATTCCATAGAAATATATGCTCAAGATTGTAAATTAGTGTTGTATGTTTTTTAAAGCTTGTCATGGGAACTATTATTAACAGTTACATGGAATTATTTTGGTCTTTGTTGGACTGATACAGACAGAAAGATGCCAACCTATCTGACTTAGTGAGGATTTATTGGTATTTTACTATGTCCTCTCACATCTCAAAAAGGCTACTGTTTTAAAACTTTTTTTAATGAATTTTCTTTACTTTTTTTAATGTTTGCACCATTTACAAATTTTGAAGCTATAAAAGGCATGTGTGCTGCTCAATTCATCATTTCAAATTCATCTGCATCAAATGATGTCAGCACTCATGTAGAAGGAAGACAAATAATTTCACCACAGCTTTGATAAGTCATGAGAGGAACCATGTTTTCCCCCGTTAGGAGAAACCATTCACAGTAATGAAGAGTGGTTCATGGCTGACTTCCTAATCCCTTCTACTTTTTCTACCAGCCTCCTGACAGCACTACCTTCTAACCTCCTCACCATTCCCAAATCTAAATATAGCCGCATCTGGAGACCCAAGATGGCAGAGGAGTAGGTGGACGCTGCATATACCTCCTCCCAGGACCAAACTGGAATTGCAACTAAATTGTAGAGAAATCATCCTGAGTAGCCAACTGAACATTAGCTGGAGAGAAGCCTTATAACCAAGGACAGACAGAAGAAAACATCTCACTGCAACGTGACTGGTAAGGAGTGCAAAGGAGGCACAAGAGGGCTCGTTGTGCTCCCACCAGTGGCAGCTGAAGTTCTGAAGGGATATTTCAGCAACTGGGGTTTCCCCAAGAAGTGTTGGGTCTAAACCCCAAGCTGGGCTTTGCTGCCTACAGCACCAGAGCTGGGAAAGGAACCCAGGTAACATCCAGTTGTGAAAAGCAGCAGGGGACAGCTGGAGATGCAGAAAGCCTCTTAAAGGGCCAAGGAACAAAATTCCCTTTGCAGCCACTTATCTTAGGCTCTAGCAGAGCAGGGGCAGAGCGGACTAGAGATGTGTGAGCAGAGTCTGGGGATGGTGGCTCTGGGGAGAGAACCGAAGGAACAGCCACCAGGATCCCTGTGCTGTCATTCCCCATACTGTAGAGGCCATCTTTCTCAGGCAGAGCACTCTCTTCCAAGTGACATCAGTCTGGGGGGAAGCAATAGACTCACCCAACACTGTAGAGCTTAAGCCAGGCTACTGAGTACAGCCTGAGGCTATGTTAGTGATTAAGTTTAATATCTAAGGCAGATCTCTGGGAGCTCTGAGACTTTAGCTGTCCCTCCTCCAGGCTGGTAAAAGCTGGCCTTAGTGCACAGCCTGGTTCTTTCTGCACACAAACAGGCCCAGGAGAGGGAGCCACAAGCTGTGGATTGCTGATAGCTCCAAACAGGTTGCCTAGGGCTGGTCACAGGCAGCATCTCACATAGGCTCGCACCAGAGTCTTTGCAGATCTATCTAATACATAGAAACAAACACAAAGAGGCAGGTAAGACGAGAAGACAAAGAAACAGACCTCAAGTGAAAGAATAAGAGAATCCTCCAAAAGAACTAAATGGGAGGCAAGCAATTTATCAAAGAGAGTTTAGAGTAATGATTATAAGGATATTCAATAGTATGAAAAAAGACACAGAAACCATAAAAATGGACCAGTCAGAAATAAAGAATGCAATTGGAAATAAATGATAAACTGGAAGGAACAAACAGGAACATAGATGAAACATCAAATCAGTGAAATATTTGGAGACAAGATAGGAAAAAAAACACTCAAGTCGAAGCAGATACTGTGTTCATGGATAGGAAGAATTAACATCATTAAAATGTCCATACTACCCAAACCAATCTATAGATTCAACACAATTCCTATCAAGATTCCAATGTCATATTTCATAGAACTAAAACAAATACTTCAAAAATTTATATGGAACCACAGAAGGCCCTGCATAGCAACAGCAATCCTGAGAAAGAAGAACAAAGTTGGAGGAATCACACTACCTGATATCAAACTATACTATAAGTCCAGAGTCATCAAAACAGCCTGGTACTGGCATAAAAACAGACACATAGATCAATGGGAGAGACTAGAGATCCCAGAAATAAACCCACACCTTTATGGTCAATTAATATTTGACAGAGGAAGCAGGCACATACAATGGACTAAAGAAAGTTTATTCAATAAATGATGTTAGGGAAATTGGATAGATACCTGCAGAAAAATGAAACTAGACCACCTTCTTTCACCACACACAAGAATAAATTCTAAATGGATTAAAGATTTAAATATTAGACCTTCAACCATAAAAATCCAAGAAGAAAACATAGGCAGTAAAATCTTGGACAGTACTCATAGCAATATTTTATATGATATTAACCCTAGGCAAGGGAAACAAAAGAAAAAAATAAACAAATGGGGTATATAAAACTAAAAAGTTTTTGAATAGCAAAGGAAAACATCAACAAAATAAATAGATAACTCATGGAATGTGAGAACATATTCGCCAATACATTTGATAAAGGGTTATTTAAAATTTACAAAAAACTTACAAAATTTGACACCAAAAAAACCCCCAATCTGATTAAATAGCAGGCAAAGGACCTGAATAGACACTTCTCCAGAGAGGACATACAGATGGTCAATAGACATTTGAAAAGATGTTCAATGGCATTAATCATCAGAGAAATGCAAATTAAAACCACAATGAAATATCACCTCACAGCTGTCAGAATGGTCACCATCAGCAAATCAGCAAACGAGAAAGGGGAACCCTTTTGCACTGTTGGTGGGAATGCAGACTGGTGCAGCTACTGTGGAAGGCAATGGACCTGCCTTTTGACCCAGTGATCCTGCTTCTGGGAATATATCTGAAGAAACCTGAAACACTAATTTCAAAGAACATAAGTATCCTTTGTTCATTGCAGTGCTATTTACAAATGCCAAGATATGGAAGCAGCCCAAGTGTCCATCAGTAGATAAGAAGATAAAGCAACTATGGGACATCTACACAATGGAATACTACTTGGTCATAAAAAAGAAAAGTTTACCCTTTTTGACTGCATGCATGGACCTGGAGAATATTATGCTGAGTGAAATAAGCCAATCAGAGAAAGACAAATACCATATGATTTCACTCATATGTGGAGGCTAACGAACAAACTGAACTAACAAGCAAAATAGAGGGAGACTCTATTTAGATAGAGAGTGGATGGCAGAGGGTTGGGTGGGGAGAGGATCGAGCAAAAGGATAAAGGAGTCATGGACATGGACAACAGTGTAGTGATTTCAGGGGGAAAGGGGAATAAAGGGGTTAAACTGTAATGGAAAAATACAATAAAACCTTTAAAAACAATAAATATAGCCACATCTGACATCACTATAGAAAAAGAAAATCAGTGGAAACCATGACTTTTTTCCTCTCCTTTTCCAGTTGCCTACCTGACCACACTTTAACAGCATTACTAATTAGTTGTGGGTTTAGTTTCTCTTGCATTACACATTAACTTAAGTAGAATACTAATGAAGTCAATAGTTCATCTTGATTATAGAACCACAATTTTCCCAAGAGCATTAACATCCTTGGCCCATAGTTACTGGTATTTTAATATTCCACTGTTTGTTGGGGTGGAGGGAGTGAAGTGGAAAGAAATAAAGCCAGATCATAAGGATCTTGGGGTGCTATTAAAATTTTTTTGCACAGAAGAGTGTTACTGTCTAATTTTATTTTAGACATAAAATGGCAGAGTAGAACATAGTTTAGAAGGGATAATAAGTTTAATGGCAAGGGATGAATAGGAAGGGTGTTAAATACTGATTCGGAAGAATATATGCTGGCCCAGGGTAGAGTGATGGCAGTGGGAGAAAAGTGAGAGACAGTTCCAAGGTAAAATGTGGAGGACATAATAGACATTTCAATTTAGCTAGTGTACACGTAAAACCTATATGACCCTATTAACCAATGCCATCACAATAAAGTCAATTTAAAAAGAAAAGATCTAAGAATGGAATTGGAGGACATGTTGATTTTCCTGATACTCCAGCCATCGTTAAAATAAAATGTTATTATAATTATCCTTTAAAATAATGGACACTGTAGACTCTAAGGATTGCCATAGGATTTATTTTTAAGGTGACATTTTACAAATCTATCTTTTTAGCTCAAGGCTTGGCTCATCCAAGTGATTCTGGTGTTGATTCGTAAGTCAACAGTGCGGAAACCAGTTCAGGACATGGTTTTGACCATGGCTCACTTTGATCCTGAGAGTATTTTACACTTGATTCATAAGCAACCTAGTATTTACCCAATGTTTTTTCAATATATTATTTTTCTGCTTCACTCAGACAAAGCATGCTTCTGTAAGTGAACTGCCATTACCTTAATAGGACACATGCAAAGAAAAGTTCAACTTGGCTGAAAATATTAGAATTTTTATTTACTCACTTTTCCATTTAATACGTATTTGTTGAGCAGCTGCTATGTGGCAGACACTATGCTAAGTTCTGAGGGGATAGCTGTGAACAAAATAGACAAAAATCCCTACCTTTTTTTCCTAGCAGGGAAAGAGAGAATAAACAATGTACCATAAGTAAACTATATATTATGGCATCAGTTAA